GGACTCAGGATCCAGGATCCAGGACTCAGGATCCAGGACTCAGGATCCAGGACTCAGGATCCAGGACTCAGGATCCAGGACTCAGGACTCAGGATCCAGGACCACAGCAACAGGCACAGCCACGACTCAGGATCCAGGACTCAGGATCCAGGACTCAGGATCCAGGACTCAGAATCCAGGACTCAGGATCCAGGACTCAGGACTCAGGATCCAGGACCACAGCAACAGGCACAGCCACGACTCAGGATCCAGGACTCAGGATCCAGGACTCAGGATCCAGGACTCAGAATCCAGGACTCAGGATCCAGGACTCAGGATCCAGGACTCAGAATCCAGGACTCAGGATCCAGGACTCAGGACTCAGGATCCAGGACCACAGCAACATGCACAGCCACCACTCGAAATCCAGGACTCAGGATCCAGGACTCAGGATCCAGGACTCAGGATCCAGGACTTAGGATGCAGGACTCAGGCTGCAGGATTAAAACAAACAGACAAACCAAATCCAGTATATTAAGATGAACAGGTGTCCCGTTACAAAATAAAACACACACAAATAACTATAGAAAACAACAATGTGTGTGTGTTACTTTGTGTGTTTAAACGTCAACATTTCAGAGAGTACATATTCATAGCAAACAACACCTCAGCCTCACAGCATGCACTGCCCAAAAGATCCTTATAGCTCCTCGTAGGGCTCATCTTGTACAGCTTTAAAACAATCTCATGTGTGTGTGGTGCAATGTTTCAGGAGGGAGGGGGATCCAGAGCTTTCAACTAAGCTTTTTGGATAAAAGTGCGTGTAAAAAAACATGTGAAAAGATGTAACGATTATATTTTCCACTCCATAAACTTTTCTCAATTACTGTTGGATCGCCCCGTGTTTGGACGGCAGGAGGAAACCTCAGGGAAGCTTCCAGGAGGAAATTAAGTTCTAAATTAGCTCTCATGTCGTAAAACATTTTGGAAAGGCCTCAATTCTCACCATGCTGCAGTACAGTAGGTCACACCCCCCCCCCCCCCCCCCCCCCTCACTGACTCACCCATCTCCCCTTCTGGTTCATGGTGATGAAACAGAGATCATGAAAACAGAGACATGTTCTTCAGAGGAAACAAAAGAGAGATGATGTCGCTGGTTTTCCCCTCCGACACAAAGCCCGGTTCAGTTTATCATCATTCCAGGGGCTTGACTCAAACACCCCCCCCCCACACACACACACACCCCCCCCCCCCCCCCTCCTGCAGTGGACTCTCCCAACAACCCGCCGTTTGTTGCTGTTGGGAGGAGAGTGATGTCAGTAACTCACAGTGTGTGTGTGTGTGTGTGTGCGTATGTGTGTGTGTGTGTGTGTGTGTGTGTGTGTGTGTGTGTGTGTGTGTGTGTGTGTGTGTGTGTGTGTGTGTGTGTGTGTTCCTGTGGTGTCTCTGTGTGTCACTCCACCTCTGATACACACCCGTGCTCTGTGATGATATCCAGGACACACACTGTAAACATATGTGACAGAAAAAATAATAATTTTACCCAAAAATAAATCAGCGTTGAACGGAGACAGCCCTTCATGACTTTGGTAATGAATTTGATTAACCTTAGGAATATTTATATATTTATGTTTTCATCCATGTGTTCAGGGATGCCATGACACTGATTATCAGAGCCACAAATAATCCCAATATTATTATCATTTTTAAATTCAGACTTTTGAACCATAACTGTCCAAAACTGTACAGACATGTACAAAAAGAACAATGACAGAACCAGTGCACGGAAAGCACTTCGAAAAAGACAGTAAGTGGACATTTCCCGTCCAAATAAGTTTGTTTAAAGTGCAGAATGAAGTGGATAAGAAACCCTTAAATCCATGAAAAATGAAGATTATCTGGGATTTATTTCTTCTTCACAGTTCACTTCTTTCTCTGCAGCACAGAAGAAGTGAACAACACATTGAAATCCCTCACATTTGTAGCATATATGATATATCTATGTATAAAGCAATCAAAAACAGTAGAAATGTACATGCTGAAATGTTTTTGGAGTTGATCAGTTAGTAACGGGACTTTCCCAATTTAGTTTTTCTTTGTGTGCTTCCTCCCTGGGTGGGGACACACTGATATAATTGATAACAAATAGTTAAAAATGTGCTTAAAAAAACTATAAATATTTAACGGTTCAAGTCATATCCCCTGCCATTACACACTCATGCTTTAATAATTGATTTTTCTGTCTTCCAGGTGCTTTCTGTGATCAAAACTTTGAGACGACCTCCTCCGCTATAATCTTTAACTTTGCTGAAAGCTGCCTGTGTTTGTGATACAGATTTGTCGTGTTGCTCAGGAACGTTGGAAATGTCAATCTTGCCATTTCCCCCACTTCTCCCTCTCTTCTTTCTCACCAAGAGGGGACGATTTGCACAGATTGAGATCTCCACACACCCCCACGTCTCCCCTAATTGTCGGCCTGCTGGAAATGACTTCACTGGGTCACCCCCACGCTGAGCATCATATCCTTGTTTGGCCTCTCATTGTCTGTCAGCTTCCACACACACACACACACACACACACACACACACACACACACACACACACACACACACACACACACACACACACACACACACACACACACACACACACACACACACACACACACACAGACAGATCTGAGATGTGCTTGTCAGACACATTCCTCCGCTGCTGTATCACCACCCAGCCTACAATTACCCCCCCTCCCTCTGGTTCTTCTCTTCTCTCTCGGACTCATCCATTCATCCTCCGCTCTCTGACAGGTACTGAGCATTCATTATACATGTGTGGTATGTTGTAAGTAATCACACAGCAACAAAGGCTGTGTTGTGCGGCTGTATCCAGGAATAAGAGCTGTTCTGTTATTGAGACGTCACCCCCCCCCTGTTTCCTTTGGCAGCTGCAGCACAGGTAAAGGAGGTGTGGAGGAAAGTCTGTAGCTAACAATGAGCTGCTATCACTGGGAAACCCATCCCATAATAAGTGTATAAGATCATGGATTAGAAGCAGACGTAAAAGTGATGAGGCGTTCACTGACAGTAAAGACTTTGATGTTAGTTTCTGAATCAGCATTAAAGCTGCAAGTAATGATTAATTTAATTCCTGAATAATTTTAGTTGGTCTAAATGACACTTAGCTAATGAACTTAAAGGAAGAAGAACTGTATTTGGATCCTTAAGGGTTAAAGGTTGTTAATTATAGGTTTTAAATTAGGAAAAACATCAGCAAAATATCCTTAATTTTTATAAACAATTAATAAAAAACAATGTCCTTTAATATATATTTTATTATTAATATTTGTTATGATTATTATTATTTTTATTTTTGTTATTATTATAATTTATAATATTACTACATTTATATTTGTTGGACAAAATGACATTTAGCTAATGAAGTTTAAGGATATAATTAAAGGAAGAAGAATTTGGATCCTTAAAGGTAGGGTAGGTAAGAATGGAGAAACCAGCTCGAGTGCGCTAGAATTTGAAAATACGCAGCCGAAAATAATCTGCCCCTTCCTTCAGACTTCCTTACAGAGCCCCTCCTCCAACACACACGAACGCGCACATGACCAATGAGGGCACGAGATAAGTTTGTGCACAGATGGAAGGCTGACAGGCAGGTAGGCCATCCAGTTATTTTAGCCAGGCCGGCTAAAATGATTGGTCGTGCTTTTTACAGCGCCACGGCTTCCACAGATGATATTTTTTTATGTATTTATTGTCAAAGCATTTAATGTATTCATTGCTATCGGGATGTTAAGAGCATTCCATGGAATATAACAAAAAGTGTCTCTGAAGTGAATTACCTACCCCACCTTTAAGGGTCGTTTTTAAGAAAGTGTAGAAATAAAGGTTGAACCCTGCATTCATAGTTTAATTTAAAGGGGACCTATCATGCAAAATGCACTTTTTTCTACATAAAGATGTGTCCCCAGTGTGTCGGGGAACTCACGCAGCGTCAGAAAATAAAACCCTCTCTCTTTTCCTCCGTTCCCAAATCTCTAAAAACGGGGGAACAACGGAGCTGATCCAGATTTGCGTCCGATATGACGTAATATCTGAAATGTGGACCCACGGCCCTATCAGAAACGTTGCTATCAGAAACAATGCCCGACTGTTTTGGACGTAATATGGTCGGTGTTTACATTAGCATCGCTAACACTCAGAGCTAACCTGTACTGGAGAGCATGTGTGTGAAGAAGCAGGAAATAAAAAGGAACTCACCTTGTGGTATAACCGGCAAGAGAGAAAGCCTTTGAGCTCCATACTGTTTCAGAAAGAATCCTTCATAATCCATGATATGGCGTTTCATCACGGCAGCATTTAGTTTAGACAGTAGCTGCCGGGTCCCGCATGAGCTCAGACCAAATCAGCACTTTTGAAACAGGAAGTGAAATAGAGGGATATGAGGCATGGCTAGAATGGGTGATCTGTTTGGTATTTTGAGCAAAACACTTCATAGACATGTTTTTTATATATTTTTATATATCTGAGACCTATGCTATTGCCTAAAAATAGCATGATAGGTGACCTTTAAAGAAATAATATCAGCACTATGTTGTTTACTTTTTTATAAATTAATTAAAATGATTAATATGTTTTATAATTATTATGAATTTATAATATTAATAAACCTGAGTGAAGGAAATTGTGTTGTTTTTTTCAGGGATGAGGAATATATTGAAATGACTATAACACATTTCCCAGAGCCTAGGATGTCTTCAAAAAGCCTATTTTTATCAAAACTACTGAATATAAACATGTCAAATTCAATTTTCTTACAAGCTAGAACTGGGAAATATTTGCCATTTGTGACTAATTGATTAATGGCTGATTAAATGTCTTCCTGTTGTATCAATTAACACAAATTAGTCGATATAAAATATCTATTATCGGACAAAATAGTTAGTTTCTTTAAGGAAAAATGTATTACACTTATAAAATGAATAGATATAGACAAAGTGAAACAACACACAGTTTCAAGAGCACATGAAAAAGCTTTATTATCACACCGAGCTTCAACACAAACATCGTTAGAGTTTTCAGCACTGGGGAGAACAGGTTATTATATAACTTACATAATTTATTAAATATCTTCATTTGGCAGGGTTTCACAAGGAAGCAGGAGAAATACACAAGTGAGTGGAGGTGAGGTACAGCTCTCTCTTTTATTTCCCCGTCTGTCAGAGGCAGAAAGTAACACTGGGAAACACAGCGGGAAAACAAATGTACAGTGTGTGTTATTTAATCTCTGCAGGAACACTCAGCTTCACAGACAACGATTAGAGAGATATAGGAATGTAAAGAAAAAGGAAACAGAGGGGGCTGGGAGATGGGAAATACCCGGGGAAATATCACTTCCAAAACGTAACGATGACACGATGAGAGGATCTGTACACTGTGATGCCGTCTTCATATTTCATTATACATTCCTTCACTGTAAACCAAGATATGCACGCTCTCAGGTTAATACTTCACTTTAGAGTTTTTTTAAAAATAGTATATATTTCGTGATATATTCATTTTTTTTGTTATTGTAAACAAATCATACAGTACGAACACCTTTAAGATTACATGTCTATCGTTTGGCAGCCTATAGATGAAGCGTAACGTGAGGCAGTGACGACACAAATCACTGCAGCTCGTTAGTGAAGAAGATTCAGCCATGCAGGTGAGCACCACCGAGCAACACTTAGTTTAGAGTAATAGATGTGAGGTTGTGGTATAATACAGTGTTTTAAACTTAAGAGTCCTGATAGAATGGGTTAGAAAATAATAAATACAAATGTATCCCCAATGATTTTTTTTCCCTGTGGGGTGATTTGCATTTACGTGCATTCTGCAGGAAATTCAGGAAATGTCCGTTCTCCCCTCGGACAAATCAAAAAGAAAAAAGTGCATCTCAGCAAGTGGCTGGTAGTGCTGTGCCAGTATACACACACACACACACACTGTCAGGGGGGGCTGGTGAGTAACATGAGTGTGTGTGTGGAAGCTTGTCATTCCACAAGGTGACTGTGGCAGAGTGTGTGAGTCCATGTTTGAGCTACGCTGTGGTTTTAGAGGTGTCTTTAATTAGTAAAAGATCCAGTATCTGCGTCACTGGATCTTCCCCGAATGGATGGATCACACACTTACTGACGTGTGTGTGTGTGTGTGTGTGTGTGTGTGTGTGTGTGTGTGTGTGTGTGTGTGTGTGTGTGTGTGTGTGTGTGTGTGTGTGATGGGGGGGATGGGGAGTCAGCTGATGAGACACTTTTGGCAACATTAATCCAATATCATGGCTTCTCTCGTAGCTTTGAGCAGCATTTCATGATTGATTACACATACTGTACTCTACCTTCAAAAATAGACTTTTTTTTTTGTAATACCCTAGTAAACATCGTCAAGTATTTTTACTAAGTTTTGACAAACCAGGAGGTCGTGGCTAGCAGATGAAACAGGAATACATGCAACCGTCATCCTACTGCCACAATAGGGCCTCTTTAAAAGTGTCTATGGTCAACCTGTATCTATGGCAACATGTTAATTTAAAAGTGATTTCACCGGCATCTAACTCATCAGAGCTCCAGAGAAAAAAACGTCAGTGAAGCAAACTGTGAATAACAAGCCCAGTCATTCAGAGAGGATTAATACAGTAATGGAATACTCTGTGGGGGATAGTGGTGTCAGACGTTGATGGGGTGTCAGTGAAGTGGATTCCCTCTGATAATACAAGGGCGTGTGCGTGTGTGTGTGTGTGTGTGTGTGTGTGTGTGTGTGTGTGTGCGCGTGTGTGTGTGTGTGTGTGTGTGGTTGGTCTCTGAACATGTGGAAACACCACAGAGGTGTGATGACATCATGGGGATTCCCTAAAAACATTTCTCGTCTGGATCACATGGGATGGGTCTTTCTCTCTCTCTCTCTCTGTCTGTAGTTTAAGCACAATGGCGGCGAGGTGTGAGGGCTTTAATTCAGAAACAGTGTAGGTGTGAGGGAGAGACAGCTCACTGAATAAACACATGATAGTATGCAGCCCGATAAGTAGGAAAACTGCACGAACAGAAACAAACAGAAGGTGGGAAATACAAATGAAATCCAACATTAGTTCTCAGAGAATCAGAGGGTGTGTTTGGCGCCCTCTAGAGGAAGGGGTTTGCAAAGCCCGGATAGGAAATGAGGAGAGGAGAGTGAAAAAGGGGAGACAAGAGAAGAAAGGAAAGAAAAGTAGAGGAAACAAGGGCAGATAAAAGGAGACAAGGAGAGGAAACAAGAAGGGAAAGGAGTGTGAAGAGAGAAGAGGAGATGAAGGGAAAACAGACTGAAGAGGAATGTAAATAACAGGACACAAGTAGGAGAAGGAGAGTGTAAAAGGGGATAAACGAGGAAAGGAAAGATGAGGGAGAGAGGAAACAAGAGAGTTGAGGTGAGAAGTCAAGAGGAGAAGACGATGAAATAAGGGCAGATGAGAGGAAACGAGGAGTGAGAAGAAAGGAGAGGGGATGGAAACAAGAGAGGTGAGTTAAGGAGTTAAGGAAACAAGAGAGGTGAGTTAAGGAGTTAAGGAAACAAGAGAGTTGATGAGGATTCCTAGGCGTGCTCCAGGAGCCACTGGAAGAGGGGGGTGCGCTGCGTGTCTCTGCCCGCCTGCGGAGCCTCGTCTCTGGGCAGGATGTGAGTCTGAGCCTCCTCACAGTAGCGCAGCAGGGTGTGGAGCAGCTCCCCCACTCTCCACCTCCTCTCCTTCAGACGCTGCACCACCAAGGGGAGCTGGAGGAGACACAACAAGGTGTTAGACACTTTAATAAGAAGGTGGGAAGTAGTGGAGTACAAATACTTTGTTACTTTACTTAAGTACATTTTTCTGGTATTAGTACTTTACTCCACTACTTATTTTTCTGACCACTTTTTTTACATTTTGAACACAAATACCTGTACTTTCTACTTCTTACATGTTGAACACAAATACCTGTACTTTCTACTTCTTACATGTTGAACCCAAATACCTGTACTTTCTACTTCTTACATTTTGAACCCAAATACCTGTACTTTCTACTTCTTACATGTTGAACACAAATACCTGTACTTTCTACTTCTCACATGTTGAACACAAATACCTGTACTTTCTACTTCTCACATTTCCCAAACAGGCTGGTTCCTTTAGTTTGAATGTGTGTTTGGTGGCGTGATCATTATTATTTAGAGTCATTGCGTGCCTATTGATTTGAACACGATCCGTGTATCCATCATTTCCTGGTCTTCTCTAAAGAAGAGGGACCAATGAAAACGTTGTCATGTTGCCGTTGTTCAGCATGGAAACATTCATTAGCTAACAATGACATTATTGTTCTATTAATATAAAGGGAGGTCAGGTACTCTTTAAAACAGCTGCTAGTTATGGGTACTTTTTACTGAAGTACATTTCAAAGCCCTCTTTACTTTGACTTGAGTAAAGAAGTTTAGTCAGTACTTCTACTTTCACCAGAGTATTTTTAAACACGAGTATCTGTACTTCTACTTGAGTAAAGGAAGTGTGTACTTTTGCCATTTCTGCACTTACACAAGCACAAAGGAGGCCACCTGAGGTTTATTCATTGTTATTAAAACGTATTATATCTGGGGCAATGTTTAGGGGTTTCTCATTTCTCATGATCTCATTTCAACATTCCTGCCTACTGGATAACTGGACTTAAACTCCCAGTGTACATTTTACATTGATATTCAATCTAATATTTAATAATCCATTCCTTGCACAATTCATGTATATATAATATCCTGCTTATATTTTGTTACTGTAAATTTGTATTTCCACAAATGTATATTTTTTACTTTTTTCATTTCTCTTATGTACAATGCCTTGTCTTTTGATGCTGCTGCAACGCAGACATTTCTCAATAAAGAACTTCTTATCTTATCTTATTTATGATGTCGAAGACGGGAAATATCATGAATCAAAGACAGGAAATAGTGCAGATGTGGAGGATGGGCGGACCTTAATGATCTTTGGGGACTTGGATCGAGCCAAAAATATGTATTTGTCCAGAGCAGTTTCCACAAGATTTTCTCTTTCTGACATTTACTTTTCACTTTCACAAACAATCTGCAGTGATATATAGTCGATCAAAAACTAAAGATGTCTGAAGATCCACAAGAGTCAATAGAAGGACGAGGTTTTAGGATAAAACAAAGATAGGAAAACTATGAAGATTACTACCTAGAAACATCAATTAAATGTCATTCATAAGAAGGGCAGAGTTCCCTTTGTGCTTCATAAAAAGGGCTCATGAAAAGCACTTTGTGACGCGCTAAATAAATACATTTGACTTATTTATACATATAATTAAAAGTGCAGAGTCTGTGCTTGTTGGGGATCTCTGCATTGAAGATTCACGTAATGTTCATTGCCCCATGTTCAGTGACTTGAGAAATGTTTGGAGGATTTGTTTTGGTTGTGTGAAGGATTTATGTTGATGAGTTGGCACTTTAACGAGCAGATTTATGACCTGGCAGGAAGTATAGTCAAAGCAGGAACAAGGTGTGTCAATCATAAATTTAAAGTAACTTTCGTTGAGTGAATTGACTGTTTTGAAATATGACTCTGGAGCTGTAAGTCATCATTTGGCAAATCCGTAATTACAGGTGAAGACAGAGATGTTAAATTGATTTGTAGCAGGTAAGAGAAACTGATCTATTCCACAGGGAGGTCCATTTCGTTTTTAAAGAGACACACTTCTAACAAGGGAAGCAGTTTCCAGGACGTACACCACAACTAGTTTGAATACAAGGACTTTTTATTGATTTTGGAAAAAGGATTATAACTACTGCACTTATATATGAATATATTTTACCACCTGTTTTACTTAATTGTTGCATGAGCTGTGGTTTTCCAGAGGTTTGTCTCCACAGCAAAACTAAGTGTAGTAGAAACCAGGAGACCACAACTCAAGAGCGCTAACCTTTCAAACAAACATCAGAAACGGAAAGAATGACTTCTTCCATTTAAGTTTTAAGTTTAAACCTGTCTCTGATTGGCTGAAACACCAAACAGATCATTGCAGCATCCCATAATCCCCTCTGTTTCAGCCCTGTTTCAAAAGTGCTGATTCTCTGTCTGTTACTTTAGATGAAAATAAGGAGCCCCTCCCCACGCCCCTCTGAGAGAGATTTGGTTACAAAGAACTCAATGGTGCTCTAGGAGGAGATTCAGGTGATAATGGGGGGGGGGGAGGGGGGGGTTACCTTGGTTGCTGATTGGCTAATGGTTACACAAGACAAAACATCGTTATGACATCATAAAGTGGCCCAAATCTGATCAGCTCATTTTCAGACAGGTTTTTATAAAAATGGATCAGGACAAAAAGAGAGAGAATCTTTGTTCCTGAAACTTTCAGAGTCTCTTTACACAGAGGGGACACATGTTGATGTAGAAGAGACATGAAGAAGAGGGGGACACATGTTGATGTAGAAGAGACATGAAGAAGAGGGGACACATGTTGATGTAGAAGAGACATGAAGAAGAGGGGACACATGTTGATGTAGAGGAGACATGAAGAAGAGGGGACACATGTTGATGAAGAAGAGACATGAAGAAGAGGGGACACATGTTGATGTAGAAGAGACATGAAGAAGAGGGGATACATGTTGATGTAGAAGAGACATGAGGAAGAGGGGACACATGTTGATGAAGAAGAGACATGAAGAAGAGGGGACACATGTTGATGTAGAAGAGACATGAAGAAGAGGGGATACATGTTGATGTAGAAGAGACATGAAGAAGAGGGGACACATGTTGATGTAGAAGAGACATGAAGAAGAGGGGACACATGTTGATGAAGAAGAGACATGGAGAAGAGGGGACACATGTTGATGTAGAAGAGACATGAGGAAGAGGGGACACATGTTGATGAAGAAGAGACATGAAGAAGAGGGGACACATGTTGATGTAGAAGAGACATGAAGAAGAGGGGATACATGTTGATGTAGAAGAGACATGAAGAAGAGGGGACACATGTTGATGTAGAAGAGACATGAGGAAGAGGGGACACATGTTGATGTAGAAGAGACATGAAGAAGAGGGGACACATGTTGATGTAGAAGAGACATGAAGAAGAGGGGATACATGTTGATGTAGAAGAGACATGAAGAAGAGGGGACACATGTTGATGAAGAAGAGACATGAAGAAGAGGGGACACATGTTGATGTAGAAGAGACATGAAGAAGAGGGGATACATGTTGATGTAGAAGAGACATGAAGAAGAGGGGATACATGTTGATGTAGAAGAGACATGAAGAAGAGGGGACACATGTTGATGTAGAAGAGACATGAAGAAGAGGGGATACATGTTGATGTAGAAGAGACATGAAGAAGAGGGGACACATGTTGATGTAGAAGAGACATGAAGAAGAGGGGACACATGTTGATGTAGAAGAGACATGAAGAAGAGGGGACACATGTTGATGTAGAAGAGACATGAAGAAGAGGGGATACATGTTGATGTAGAAGAGACATGAAGAAGAGGGGACACATGTTGATGTAGAAGAGACATGAAGAAGAGGGGATACATGTTGATGTAGAAGAGACATGAAGAAGAGGGGACACATGTTGATGTAGAAGAGACATGAAGAAGAGGGAACACATGTTGATGTAGAAGAGACATGAAGAAGAGGGAACACATGTTGATGTAGAAGAGACATGAAGAAGAGGGAACACATGTTGATGTAGGAGAGACGTGAACAAGTGGATTTTGCATAATAGGTGACCTTTAAGGAAAGTTTAGTAATAAAACCATTGTGCTGGTAGTGCAGATGTTGAGAGGAGGTCTCACCTGCTGCAGCTCTCTGTCAGGACTCATCTGGATCTGAGGGGCGTCGGCCATGGAGGCTGCGACCCACTGCAGCATGCTCCTGAGCTGGGGGTCAAGGGTTGCCTGCTGGGGGCCGCGGCCCAGCTCCCTGATGTCCGAGTTCACCACAAGCAGCGCCGTGCGGGGGGGGGCCTGCAGCTGGGTCCGGTCCACACAGAGGGTCCCTGCAGCACATAATAATTATAATAAACTTTATTTATATAGCATCTGTCATGTGTCTATAACAAGGTTCAAGGTTTTTATTAATCATACGTACATAGCTACAGTGTAGTTATGACGATGAAAATCTTAGGTCACTCCTTAAATACCAACTATGTGCAATATGTGAATATATATATAAATGCCGTTAATAACTGCAATATATACCTGGCTGCTAAATCCTCAGAACTGTTACAGGATGTGTTTTTTGTAAATTGTGTAACCTTTTTATTATATATTGTTTTACCTTTTAAACATTTTTTTATGCATGCTTCTTAGGTAACATTAAGCTGTCTTTGGCTCTTTTCTGCTGTAACAATGTAAATGTCCCCTCTGTGGGACGAATAAAGGTATTCTGATTTTGATTCTGATGCTTGACGCAGCCCAACGTGCTTTACATGTTAATTTAAAAGTGAGGAGTCATTTCACCGGCGTTTAACTCCAGAGAAAAACGTCAGTGAAGCAAACTATGAATAACAAGCCCAGTCATTCAGAGTGGATTCATACAGTAATCAGTCACATACGTGGGTTTGTACATTAGTGTGTTGTTGTCTTCAGTGCATCCTAAAGACAGACAAATACAATAATTGCACATACGTAGCAGTCCCACTTCCTGTTCTGCTCAGTGCCCGGTTCCCACGCTCCCACAGTACAACAGACCCAATGATGGGGGCCACACACACACACACACACACACACACACACACACACACACACACACACACACACACACACACACACACACACACACACACACACACACACACCACACACACACACACACACACACACACACACACACACACACACACACACACACACACACACACACACACACACACACACACACACACACACACACACACACACACACACACACACACACACACACACACACACACACACACACACACACACACACACACACACACACACACACACACACACACACACACACACACACACACACACACACACACACACACACACAGTGGAGGGAGTGGAGTGGCTGAATGAGCATCAGTGTGGCTGAATACGGGGGTGGTGAAATCCCCGGCTGCAGACAGGCAGACGTACACACGCACATCCCAAAATCAAGGCCAACTGTTCTGAATCCCAAAGAGAGGAAAGAGCAAGATGGGGGGTTTTCTATCTTTCCCCAATTTCCTCTGCTGTCTAAAAAAGTGCTATGCGAGACATTCAGATTTTTTCTTGTGCCAAAAACGGGTATTTTCTTGTTCTGAAAAGCTTTTATTGAAATAGAAAACCCAGCATTAACCCTGCTCTCACAGGTGAAGTTGTAGCCAGCAAAATTATGTTTTTGGGTTATCACCATGTGTCTTTATTCCACATTGTGACAAAAACAGACATTCAGTAGTTCATAGTTGTTCTTACACAATTCCATGTGCAGAAAATCAAATGAATTGTAGCGTAGAAACATGAAATAATATTTCCTGTTATGGCATTGCAGATAAATTCCTTACACACTATTTAATGTCGACTACATATCCACTCAATTTAGGCACAATTCGAGACAAATAAATCCTCTATTGTTACTTTTCATTGCCAGGAGGAACAACTGAGTTAAATTCATGGACGTTCTTACACAACAAGAAGTCAAAGGCCAAATCAAATCTCAATAATAAGGCACCTAAAGGCCGAAAAGGACATCAAAAAAAGATATATACAAGATTTTGTATGGTCACACACATTAGGGTTAATGTGAAACATGCTTACCGCTGGATTCCTCTTTGACCTCCGTCTCCTTGTCCTCTGTGTTGTCACTGTTGGATGAGAAATGTCACACAGGTTAGAGAGAGGGGAGAAATGTCCGGGAGCTTCATGAAAGACGACAATAAGCATGCTAAAGCTAAAGCTAACAGCCTTTGGTATGAGCATATCAAAAGCCACATGCACTGCGAACAAAAGAAACCTGCATATTTCCCGTCAATGCTTTTGTCTTTATTCCTGTAAATGTAGTTTCTTGCTTTAATGTCTTTTGTCAGTTAAGACCCGGTGACTAAGAGTACATATCAATAAGTGCGAATGTTTATTTTCTCCATTCTGAAATCTACCCTGTATCCATTCTGTCAATAGTTCAACTATTCGCTGTGTGACGTGCCAACAGGTAAACAGTAATTTCTCTGCTTCATAAGAATGTTAATCACCCTGTTGTTGACACACCCGCGGCTACAGACACTTAGACTCTGTTCAATATGATATCATAAGCATATCACTCTCTAAGAAGGCTTTCACAGTCTTTATGAAGAGGATAATGAAGCAGTAATGACATTGTCAAAACAGAAGTGAGGAGGACTAAGAACTAAGACTGCAGGGCAGCAACAATCACCAAAAACAACACCAATGTTACTTCATTTTTTGTATTAATGGCAGTGCATGAAGAGCTGGAACCCAGCAGTGTATTTGCTGCAATTGGCAAAAAGTAGCACATTTTGCCACATACTGAAAGGCACTAATTTTGACTGTTATCCAAATACCTAAATGATGTCTCTTGTGGTTTCTAAATGAGACTACTGAACGGCATAACGATGAACATTAGCCGCCTTTAGCTTAGCGGTGGTGACGTGAAGTCATGTGACCGTGCTGTAGTTCCTTTATAGCCTAACATTAGCCACCTTTAGCTTAGCGGTGGTGACGTGAAGTCATGTGACCGTGCTGTAGTTCCTTTATAGCCCAACATTAGCCACCTTTAGCTTAGCGGTGGTGACGTGAAGTCATGTGACCGTGCTGTAGTTCCTTTATAGCCCAACATTAGCCACCTTTAGCTTAGCGGTGGTGACGTGAAGTCATGTGACCGTGCTGTAGTTCCTTTATAGCCCAACATTAGCCACCTTTAGCTTAGCGGTGGTGACGTGAAGTCATGTGACCGTGCTGTAGTTCCTTTATAGCCCAACATTAGCCACCTTTAGCTTAGCGGTGGTGACGTGAAGTCATGTGACCGTGCTGTAGTTCCTTTATAGCCCAACATTAGCCACCTTTAGCTCAGCGGTGGTTACGTGAAGTCATGTGACCGTGCTGTAGTTCCTTTATAGCCCAACATTAGCCACCTTTAGCTTAGCGGTGGTGATGTGAAGTCATGTGACCGTGCTGTAGTTCCCTTACAGCCTACCGTTAGCTTTTTTCTTCTGGAGATTGCATTGACAATTTAAAAATAAAGTGGTGTTACTATGCGGAGATTATCCTGCTGGACCTATTTTCTGCAATAACCCAAAATCCAGTTGCAATGCTAACATCTGGGTTAACCTAGTTTAATTTGTCATCACTGAAACACATCATCGCATCCTATAGTTTTGTACTTTTTAGACGCCAAGGTACAGGCAAAAAAAAAAGTCCAGTCCCCTGCAGGCTTAACAGAGATGTGGATTGGCATTGTTTCCCCATTGTCAGTTAAGGGTTGCAATGCAATAATTGTTTTGCAAGTTTAGCTCTTTTAAGATTCTGAAAATCTGTAGCAGATTTGCCACTGGTTTCAATTGATGTTAGAACATCACCATACATATTTTGTCAATGTTACTCATCACTGATCATGCATGTAAGGCACTGATAGTCTTGTTGTTGCCTTCAGATGTCTGCGGGAAGCTCGTTCAGGGTATATGCAGGAATCCTGAAGTCCAATGTAAAACCTTTTAAGACCTTTTTTAAGACCCTTTCCATACATTTTAAGACCTCATCGCCACTTCCAGTTCTAACCGGTTACATTGGCGACACACTTTACCTCACATTGACTATATACAGTATTGATTGTCCTTCCTCCTTATCTTCCAACCATTTGGACGCAGACTTGCATTTCCCCATAACGATGTTGTTTAACAACCGGCGTAAACGGACCTTCGCGCGCTATCAAGCAGTGAGCGTGCGATGTCCTGTTCAGATGACGTCAAACCCAACGGGATGCCATAAATAAACTACACAGAATCACACTACACACCTACGCAATGATTACATTCAGGCAGACTGTAGAATACAACCTCTTTGGACAATTTATATACTTATTGAAAACAAGCTACAAAATGTAATACCTTGGAAAATGCCGTTTAATACTTTTTAATAGCCTTCATTTTCGCAAAATTGATTTATCAACTTTTAATACTTTTTAAGACCCCGCGGACACCCTGTCGTTGATGGTAAATAAAACCCAGAAAACATGGAAGTAGTTAAAAAAAAATGTGGCAGGGTTTTGCATTGAAACGATTGCTGTTCAGTGGTAAGAGTCTCTGATGGTACTGCGGCTTCCTACAAGCACATGTTGATGATCATGGTGATTGATATTTCTGCACTGCTACACATGCAAAAACACATCCACCATTCTGAAAGACAACGGCATGTTTATAAATGGCTTGCAGTACAGGTTCACTGTGTTAATGCTGATTAAATCTCAGGGTTTTTTCATGAATTTGCACCTACACAAATTAAATTACAATCTATTAGTAGGTCTAAACTGTCAAATAGCATACATGCATTTAGAGAAAGACCCCTGACATATAACCATATCATAAATGGTCCTAATAAGCAACAATATCACATAAAAGCAGTGCAGAAACAGCACATCTTGAGCAATACATCACACACAGACATCAACAAGCATATGTCAGGACTATTTATGTTTGGAGCGTTGTGTGGTCATGCAAGGGACTGGTGGTTCCTAGTATGAGACGAAGTATAAATCTAAATGAAATATATGATGAAGCAATTCCCTGTCTCCAATTTCCTGCTGAGATTTTCCACTGGTGGATGTTTGACATGCTTTCTTTTTGGCTTCATAGTAAACTCAATGACTGGACAGTTTTCTTTCTGACCCCCCCATGTGTAACGGGTGTTTGACCAACCTGTCAGAAGGGGAGAAGGACATGCGCTCCTCACACGCCTCCCCCTCCAGACCCAGACTGCTCCAACTGCTGCTGTTCCCATTGCTGCTGGAGAGAGAAGGGAAGTTATGCACCACTATAGAATAGAATACAGGGTATAAGCAGGAATCCTGAAGTCAGACGTAATCCCTTTTAAGACCTTTTTTAAGACCCTTTCCATACATTTTAAGACCTCATCGCCACTTCGAGTTCTAACCGGTTACATTGGCGACACACTTTACCTCACATTGACTATATACAGTATTGATTGTCCTTCCTCCTTATCTTCCAACCATTTGGACGCAGACTTGCATTTCCACATAACGATGTTGTTTAGCAACCGGCGTAAACGGGCCTTCGCGCGCTATCAAGCAGTGAGCGTGTGATGTCCTGTTCAGATGACGTCAAATCCAACGGGATGCCATAAATAAACTACACAGAATCACACTGCACACCTACGCAATGATTACATTCAGGCAAACTGTAGAATACAACCTCTTTGGACAATTTATATACTTATTGAGAACAAGCTACAAAATGTAATACCTTGGAAAATGCCATTTCATACTTTTTAATAGCCTTACATTTCGCTAAATTGATTTATCAACTTTTAATACTTTTTAAGACCCCGCGGACACCCTGGAATAGAATATATATTTATTGTCATCATACAAAGTACAACGACATTTCTTTGGCAACTCTCACTACAGTAAAACATAGACACAAATAAATGAATAAATAAGAGTGGTAAAAGCAGAGGTAGTAGCGATGACAGTGCAACGAGATAACATTCAATGTCAATGTGCATATTTACACTTGCAGTCTAAAAACATTAAATGTACAATAAATGTAGTGTGTTTCTAACTGTGTGTTCATAAAGGGTTTTAGTAACCAAAGGATGCAAGTGAAATAGCCATACATATTTCTAAATAGTAGTGGTTGCAGTCTTTGAGGAGCGGAGGTGTGTTTATGAATGTTCACAGTTGACTTATCCTATTGGCTGTAAGATAAGATAAGAGGTACTTTAGTGATCCCAAACTCAATTTCATCTCGGGCCACATCAGCATTATGGTTGCACTCAAAGGGCCAGTTTTATATATAAGACTATATAAAAATACATATATAAATATTTGATATATATAAAATAATGTATTATGTTACATTATGCCTCTGCATTGGATTGTTATCGGATAGGGTAATAACTTCATAAATAACTATGTCTGAAAGCAGAAGTCTGGGGCAAATAATTGCAAGTCTCTTCAGTGAGAATGTCACAAAATGATTTAAAAAGAAAAGCAACATTTTGGAGAAAAAGTCAAAAGAAAAAAAAAGAAATGACATTTTAAAAAAAAAGTGAAATTTTGAGAAAAAAAGTCAAATTCTAAGGAAAAAAGGCATATTTTGAGATGCATTATGGGACATGTAGTTTATGGGCAACGTGCTTCTGTAAATCACAATGTAACCGTATAGTAAACATATTATAATCTTTGCAAGCTCTTGTGGGGCCGCATGAAATGAAGTCACGGGCCGGATTTGGCCCCCGGGCCTTGAGTTTGACACCCCTGGTCTATAGCGTAGTCATATTTATTCATATTATATATACAAAGTGTTTTAAACTGGTCAATATCGTATCCATATTTATACGACTGTCTATATTATACTGTCTATGTTTGTACTATCTTTATGGTATTCAACATGTATACCACTGCTAGTGTTTGTATCTTTTAATACAGTTGATATACTTGAGGTTTTTATATCTGTCATATCTAAATGACACGGCAATTAGATTAGATGCTAACTGCATTTCATTGTCCCAGTTCTTGTACTCTGTGCAATGACAATAAAATGTAATCTTATCTAATGTGGTATTGTTCCTGTAACCTGTAATCAAACTGCAATATAGGTGAGAGAAGTGTTGCAGACATTGGGCATAGAGAGCTTTGTCTCCTCTCCAATATAATGGAAATAAATGGCACAAAAAGTGCTGAGAACAAATAAATATATGTTTCTAGATTTCATGATATCAGTCATGATTGTTGGGAATTATATTCAAGAAAAGGTCGACATCTTTACGGACAAAATCACCAACACTGGGCAACTAAGGCACAATATGTTATATTAATAAAGGAGGCTACAGGTAAGAGGAAATATTTGAGATTGTGTCCCGTTAAATCAAATGGAGGATTCTCCAAATGATGCAGGTTTTTCCACCGTCACTGAATCATCTGTAAATGTTGATGGAAACCATTTGTTGCTTAAAGGCTCAAAACGTGAGATCATGGCATTCTTGTCTTTACATAATCCGGTAAATCCTGCGGGTTCCACCAAGACAACCAGCTGACAACAAAAGCACAACAACGCACACTCTGCAATTAGTCAATGATTAGCCTGCTGGCTGGAACCTGCAGACTGTGGCCTGCAGCGCTCACGGGACATTTCTGACACCTAAAAATAGTTCTGTTAATCTGCATTACCTCACATAGCTTTCTCTCTGCGGTGAGAGAGACTGACACATGGTGAGAGCTGCTTCATTTATATCATCAGTGTCTTACTAAACCCTTCAAGGTGTTTTTGTTTCATCTTCCCGTTATTTCATCTGCCAAGTTTCAGTGGGATTGTGTTTTGGTTTCAGTGGGAATTTGAAGAGAGACAAAAGAGTTACACATGCTGGACTTTGATCCTTTTGACTCACCGCCCGAAGTGAAAAGAGCCCTCAAAGACACACCTTTCGACAATATTTTGGTACATTAACTTGGCCCTGATGGCAAAATAACTACATGCTAACACATTGTGTTTCCTGGGAAAGAAATGCAAATGTTGTCAGTTTTGCATCCATGGAGATATCCACTTCTGCCAGAAATCTCAACCGCGATATTCCCAGAGGCAGCAGACCGCACTGATGTCCATCCAAGAACAGAAGGGCCAGTTCTGTCACAACTACTACTTGGTGCTTATCCCTGTGGTGTGTTTCAAAATTGCGTTTTAGCAGTGAAGTCTAAATGAGAATCCCAAACAATACACTGTGCCCTGCGCTGACCTTGGGAAGCCTCACACTGCAACCACAGGAGACTCCTGCTAAACAATGTCTAACACTAGCAATACAAAATGTTCCTCTATTCTTCTGGGTCTGAGGAAATGGACAGCACAGATTCACATGTAATAACCACATTTTTTAAAGGAATACTTCATCTCCAAAATGACTATTTGTGTGTCATTTACTCGCCCTGTGTTACTTTGAATACTGTTAAAGGTGGGGTAGGTAATTAACTTCAGATACACTTGTTGTTATATTCCATGGAATGCTCTTAACATCCCGATAGCAATGAATACATGAAATGCTTTGACAATAAATACATAAAAAAATGTCATCTGTGGAAGCTGTGGCGCTGTAAAAAGCACGACCAATCATCTGAGCCAGCCCGGCTAAAATAACTGGATGGCCTACCTGCCTGTCAGCCTTCCATCTCGTGCACAAACTTATCTCGTGCCCTCATTGGTCATGTGCGCGTTCGTGTGTGTTGGAGGAGGGGCTCTGTGAGGAAGTCTGAAGGAAGTGGCAGATTTGTTCCGGTTGTGTACTTTCAAATTCTAGCGCACTCGAGCTGGTTTCTCCATTCTTACCTACCCTACCTTTAATACCAACGTTTTTTAAATAGCAAGGCTTTATTAAAGAAATGCATACATTTGGGGGGTAGTGGACATACTACTGGATACATGAGAGTTGGTTTATACTGCATGAGTTGTGTAAAAGTTTGTAAGTTTAAAAGAATATATGAAATGATCATTTTGCGGTGATAGTTTTCCTTTAAGTACTGAGTCCATAACTACACAGAAATAAATTCTACTGTCTTTAACTGAACTGACCCGAGAAAATGTATATTCTAGGGCTGTGCAATTAATCGTATTTTAATCGCAATTACGATTTTGGCCTGCCACAATTACGAAAACAACATAATCGAAAACAACGATTATTTTGCTTTGCTAGGTTGTGACATATTTGATCTAATTTATTTTAGTCTAATTTATTTTTATTTATCATATTTATATATGTTTAGTAGCTTGTGGAAGTGCGCTCCAAAATATTTGTTGATCTTGTTTATTGGTATTTATTATTTTGATATCATTTATTTTTGTATTGGTTTTTCAGTTGAATTATACGTTCAGGGTAATCAACAGTTAAAAAGACACTGTTCAAATTATTATTTGTATTTGTTTTAAAGTTCAATAAATGGATGTTTTCAAAGTCAATGAATAATCGTATTTAATAATCGTGATATCAATTATTGACCAAAATAATCGTGATTAAGATTTTTGCCATAATCGCACAGCCCTAGTATATTCCCTTATATCCTAGATTATTTTATCTTCCTGTATCTTATCTTTGAAATATTTTGAAGACCTGCTGACTAGATTGTTCAAACACAGCGGGCACATACAGTATGTGGGAGAGAGATGGAATAATGTGCCACCTGTTGTTGCCACGCTGTTAGGAAAAGCAACTCTACCTCCTGTGAGATTAAAGCAGCAGCAGCTGTCATCATATCAAAGAAATTATCGCTGCATACTTTCTGGGAAACTCTGGGAAGACAAAACTGTAACCGGTATACTGCTACTGGTAGAACATTGAAAGATGGCCAGTAACATGAGCATAAATCCCACTAAAAATAATCTGTGTTTTTAAATATGCTTACTTATCAGCACAAACATAGTTTATTGTCACCTAAAAAAAAGCAGAATAAGAAAAGACTGGAAGAGCTAGCAAGCCATTACCAGCAGATAGCCACCTCATGATATAAAGTAAGTAAGTATTCTGTGGAAGTCTTTAAAAAAACAACTCAAAACACATCTGTACAATTGAGCCGCAAACTCCTGCTCTCTGCTGCACTTTCTCAATGCATTGCGATGCATTTTAACCCGTCATCTGATTGTGTGTTGGATTTGCATTTATCCTACTAAATGTAGTCTACTCTATGCTATTTTTAGTTTTTAACTGCTAACTGTATTCTGTGCAGTGGCGAGCCGTCAGGGCCCTCTAAGATATTCCAAAAAAAAATATTTAAAAACATTAAAAAAAAAAATATTTTTTTAAAATATATATTTTTTTAATATTATTTTTGTTATATTTTTCATTAGTTTTACCGAAAAAAAACTTGATTTAATAAAATAACATTTCCAAAGAAATAAATCCTTCGAATCTGCCTGTTCAGTCTCTGTTGAATGTGAAGGGTTTCATGAAAGAAGCTCGTCTGGCCCTCTCTGCGATTCACAGAGGGCCCGCTATAGTAACTGAAGGATGGAGTAATGTCAAATGACAGTACAATTGACCAATCATATCTTCCCTCTAAATGGGTGGGTTTTATTATCGCGGACTTTATGACAAGTTCCGCCCGCTGTGAAACTTTTCTTGTTTCCATAGCAACAACAACTTCCTGTCAACAGCGTGAACTCGCCTTCAAAATAAAAGCATGCCAAATTACACTTAAGACATACAACTGCAACGAAAGTAACAAACACAATGCAATATCATTTTCAATGTCAAAGAACACAAATGGGGTTCTCAGGTGTTGTTTTGTGTGGTAGAGGGTCGCTGTCATTGATGCGTTTTGCACCCTGGGCCGTTGTTTTGATATTCCGCTGAAGTATACGCTGTGACGTAATAACTCTTTTTTTCGAGGGAATTGGTGGGGGTCAGAGGGCCTAGGTATAAAGCTCACGGCTCGCCACTGATTCTGTGTGATGTCAATTGTCTGTGAAATGTCTATGTGAAGCACCTTGAACTACTGATTATTGTATGAAAGGTGCTATACAAATAAAGATTATTATTCATAATATCACAACAATAGTAAAACCAGATGTGTGTTAATACATATACTACAACATTGGCCAGATCCAAACATTAATATATATATTTTTTTGAATAGATTAAGGGTATTAGTGTAAATCTGCTACAGGTACCCAGCAAGGAAACTGGGTATTTGATATGTTATGTATGAGAAAGGTAGTGGTTGTCTACCTGTCGCTGAGGTGCAGGAAGCTGCTGTTATCGTCCTGATGCTCGTCTTCAAAGCTCAGGTTGGACCAGCTTCCCAGACTGTCGTCTCCCACACTCAGCTGCTGGGACACGGACGACTCAGCAACTTCCCTACAGGGGAAGCTAAACACACAGAGGGATGGAAGAAGAGGAACAGCTTTTAAAAACATGGGAATTGTACACCAAAAAATGAAAGAAGACTTGTTTTTAAAAACAAAAACGGAATTAAGGATGACAATTCTCTGAATGCATTACAATAGGCGCTTTCACACCGGAGTACTTTTCCCAGATTTTGCGTTCACACCAAAAAGATCTGGAACTAGAACTTTTTTTTGCGAACCTTTTCCCCCCTTTTTAGTGCCTGCTAGAGAGCAGGGACTTTCCTGGGGAGAAAAAGGTTCCAACTTCTGATTGGCTGGGCGGATTGCAAACCACGCCCCGTAAAACTCTGAAAAGTTTTGTGAAGCCGCCATTTTATTTGCTGGCATTAGCATTATTAGCATTAGCATCGCGCACCAACGGAGAGAGAATAACTTATGGCAACACAAAAGAAAACATGGGAGCGGTGGAGTGATGAGGAGGTGTCGGCGCTTCTGGCGATTTACTCGGAAGGCTTCAGTAGAAGCTGCTGGGAGTCCCAGCAGCTTCTACTGAAGCCTTCCCCAACTCCGGGGACTTCCGGCCGGGGACTTCGGGTGGCAGTATACGCCGTGAAGTTGTTTGCGGCCTGCCAGTAAACCCAAAGCAGAAGAAGAAGAAGTGACGTCAGCGGCTTCATTTGCGTAATCCTTCCTCAGGGAACTTATTCCGGTGTGAACGCGATCTGCTCTTTAGTTCATCAGAACTAAAGAGTTCGGATGAACTAAGTACTGGGAACTAAGTACGGCAAAGTACTTGGTGTGAAAGCGCCTATAGGTAAAGTAAGGTAACATATAAATATGAAAAACATATAAATATACTAAACATCTAGAAGCAGCTTTAAAGCACAGTATTTACCCCCACCAAGGATTTGTCAGGAGTTTTAAGGAAGAAACAAAAGTTGGTGAAAGGGTGAATAAATAGGCTAGTAAAAAAAACTTACATTTGAAGGCGATGTACTTTTGCATATATATACGCAACATGATTCACAATACATATACAAAGCACCTTAAATGTCTCCTATTATACTATTTGTAAGCATATATTATAGGTCTCAGATATATAAAAAACATGTCTATGACGTGTTTTGCTCGAAATACCTTAGATAGGGGACCTTTAAATGCTACAGTAGGTACGCGTGGCTCTAGCCATCAAAACAAAAACATATTGATATGGAAAAACAAACGAAAACAACCACTAGACTGAATCACGGTTGGTTACCTGATGTTGCCGGGCAGGCAGATGTTGGATATGGCCGACGTCATGATCTCAGCAGTGAGACTCTCAGCATAGCTGGCTCCATCATGCCCGATGCCACTGTCTGCGTTCAGGCTGGTGTTGCTCAGCTCACGTTTAGCTGTCTCCATTGCCATCGACACCATCTCCTCTGCAAACATTGCCCTGTGGTCCAGGTCGATGTGGATCTTGGGAATCTCCAGGCTGGGGAGACGCTCAGCTCTTGCCTGACCGTCTTCCCTCCTTCTCCTCCTCTGAAGTACAGGCTGGTGGTGGTGCCTGCCAGGTTTGGTGCAGTATGGGCACTCCTGGACCTGACAATAACGGCATGTCCTCTCGCCAAGAGCATGGCCCAGCGATTGGCCTTCAGACAACCTCTGGGTGTGAGCGTGTCTCTCGTGGCCTTGGTTCCTCTGGTGCTCCCGGGATGACTGTCCAACTGAAGCCATGCTCATCTTCAGAGTGTCATCAACTATTTTCCTGGCATAATGCTCAATAACCTGCATCACCTGACCCCTGTAGCCACCGTCATACAAGCTTCCTGTACTGTGGTACTGCTTGCTCTTCGCCTCCTTGGACAACAGGGGGCAGGAGAAGGAGTTCCTGATGAGGTTCTCTGCCATGTCTTCAAGTTTGGACTTCTTATAAAGACAGGAGTCAGTGAGAGACTTGGGAAGTCGTGCAGAGGAAAGATGCAGCTTGCGGGTGACATCGCAGGTGATGTTGTACGCTAACGACTCTGCAAAGTTGAGCAGATCCATGTACTCCCTTTGACTCTGCTCTTCAGAGTCACTGCAACAACACTGAGCTGCGTCACTTGAAGGACTAACCACCGACTCATCTCTGTTCTTGGGTGTCGAGGCCTCACTTCCAGACACTTTCCATTCATCGGGCAGCGACCTGGAAGAGTGAAGCCGGGTGCTAGAGGATCTCTTCTTAATCTTGCGACTGGCATGAGCCAAGCCCAGTTTTATGGAGCGGTAGGCCAAACGACTCGCATACTGGTCTAGCACTAACTCCCTGTTGCCTCCCTCCTTTTTCAGAACCCTAATGAGGTAGCCAGCGTATTCGTCCGTCACACTCTCACAGCTAGGATACTCAGAGGACAGGCCAGAGCTGGAGCTTGACATCGTGCTTGAAGTGGAGGGAGGAGACCGGAAGACCGAGGCTATCAGATCATTAGACCACTGCTCAGCCAGCCGCCCTACCCTCCAGTCTTTGTTCTGCTCTGCACCAGGAGGTGACTGGTGATGCAACGATTCAGAGCTAGATCTCTCAAAGCTCCTTCTTCTGAGATCTTTGTGATATGGACATTGCTGTGCAGAGCTCACCATCCTCTTCACGTCATTGATGACTTCTCCGGCCACCTCCCCGGCATAAACCCACAAGGTGTTTAGGGTTTGCTCTGAGAACTGAGCCACACTGTCTCTCCTTCTTCCACTGCCTTTGCTCATCTCTCCTTCTTCCTCCGCTACTCCCAGAGTGTCCATCTCTGTTGCCATTGAGACTATATGGCAAGCCAACCTCTCGGCATAATGTAAAGCTTCCTTGTGGGACATTCTGCGAGCGGACATCTGGTTTGAATCCCGTCGGCCACTTCCTGTCTCTGGACATTTGTTAGTGCCATCGACTCCACCCTCTTCTGCCAATTCTTCAACCTCTTCATCCTCATTGCCATCCGCCTCCTCAGAGAGAGACCTCATCAACTTAAGCATGAATTCAGCCTTGTCTGCCTCGGGGGAGATGTCTTTTGGCCCAGGGCCCGGCTCAGGCTGATAGTGAGGAGTGGGAGGTGGGGTAGCGGGGGAAAATTCCTTGGCTAGCTTGCTTTTCAGCTTCTTTGAGAACTGTTTAATCTGTTTCTCTTTGGACACCTCGCTGGGCTGCTGAGGGGTAGAAGGAGGAGGGCCGGGAGTCCCACCAGACTTTTGTCCAGAGCTTTGAGCCGAGTCATCCCCCGGAACAGATGTCCTCCTTTGTCCACCCATCTCGGTGCCCGGTACATCAAGGGTATGCATCATCACAGGATGTGTTTCAGCCACACCTTTGTTCTTGGGGTCTAACTCACAGCTGGCTCTATTTTGGCTTGTCTGAAAGGAAATGTGAGGAATGCTTGGGGGTGTTGGTTGCTCAACAGGGATGATGTTTCTAACATATCCAGGATCTCTACAGACATATCTGAAGCAAGCGCCCTGCTTTGAAGGGGAATCTGGAGCCTCGTCATTTTCAGTTTCCTGCTGAGAAGAAGAATCCCTTCTGCTGCCGATAGTCTTTGTAAAGAATTCAGCACAGTCACCAAAACTCTTCTTCACCTTAGAAGCAGTTATTAGCTCACACGCTTCAGTTACTATCATATCCACCATGTTGCCAGAGAAGTTTTGGAAAGAGGACTTTCCTTGAGAGTGGTCTTCTCCAGGTGTTGGGGTCTGAGTTCCATGACTGTGAAGGTGAGTTTGTGTGTCAGTGGCAGACACATTTAGTCTTTTGGGGCTGTTTTGTTGGATATCTGACAAGCTAGACTCATACTGACAGGTCTCCTCAGAATCATGGATGTGTGTGAGGGCTTGGCCTGCTTTGGGCACAGGAATACAGCTGGCCATGCCTGATACAGTGAACAGGGCTTTCTTCACCGTACAGGAAGCATCTTCTCCAGAGGGCCCTGGGGCTGCTGCAGCAGAGCTGGAACTAAGAACCTGCTGGTTAGCAAAGGTACTGCAGGTTTGAGCACCAGTGGTCTCTGAACTGACATAACAGATGTTGTCCAGAGACACACTTATAGCTGCTTGGCTAGTGAAGGACACATCAGCCTGAGAAAGCTCTATGAAGGCCTCTTGGATAACAGACTCAGACAAGTCAGAAGCATAAGAGCAAACCACCTCCTCCTCCTCCTCCTCCTCCTCTTTCCCTTGGCCAAAGGACCAATCACTAGGGGTGCGAGGGGTTGAGGGGTAAGAGAACTGACACACTTCCATAATGCCTTCAAACACCAGCTCTTCAGCCAGTTCAGCAGCGAACTGTGACACTGTGCTGTGGAAAATCTGCTTCTTCACTGTCAGGAAGTCTTTCAGCGCCCCGGATACAGCCTCTCCAACCAGGAAGCCAGCCAATCCATTGATTGCCCGTTTTTTCAACACGTAGCCGTGGCGCATACCGATCTCCTGGAAAGCCATCTGGAACACTGAGGAGGTGAGCCTGGCAGCCAGGTGACACAAGGTGGTGGTACAGGAGGATACACCTTTTTGGAGGTCTCGCAACGCGCTGCCCAAGCTCATCTCCACCAGGTCAGTGGCAAACCTCTGAATGCCGTCCTTCAGAGACTGGGACTTCTTCTGCAGAGCGTCCACTGTTACCGTCTCTTGTATTTCTGAGAGCTTCATCAGGTATCCTGAAGGGTTCTCGAATTCCTTGTGGCAGACACAGCTGAGATTCTTGTTGTCACTGATGTCAACGGCAGACTGGTAGCCACACACAGATCCCAGAATCTCTTTGGAAAGACTGCTGGCAAAGTCTGAGTAGGTTTTATACAGAGAGCAGAGATCCTGGGGTTTACGTAGCTCTAAGATGTCCTGTCCATCTTCTTCTGCCTTCCAGAAGTACTCAAGAGGTCCACTAGAGTCAACCAAGGGGCTGAAGGCCGAGGAGCTCACAGGACTGAAGAGTGGGCCACCGTTCTCGTCCGATGGGGTCTGCATTAGTCGAGGGGAGTCAGGCACCTCAGAGTGAAGCGAGTAGGGCGAGCCTGGTTTCAGAGGAGTGGGTTTTTTCACATTGGCTGGGAGAGTTGGGTGGTCAAATCGGTGAGGGTTCATTCCCTTGGTTGAGCAACCCCTGGACACATATTTGGATACTGACCCACTGCTCTGTGACGTCGAGGCACTGATCGCATCCAGAGGCAGTGCGAGAGTGCAGTTATCTGAGCTCAACTCATCCAGGTCATCAAACTGGTCAAAGCTGTCAAAGAACTCACTGACTTCAGAGTCGGAGTCTTCAACGCGCTCTCTGGGACCCCCTGGCACCTGGGGGATGTCCAGTTTGGCCCGCATGCTCTTCTGGTAGCCCACTTCATCTAGGAATATGATTGGGCTGGGGCTTGAGCCGTCAGAGTCTTCAGATTCACTGACATGGATCACAGGGGAGGGCACACGAGCTCCGGGGCTGCAGTAAGTCCACTGGGATTCAAGGCCCGATGACCTCTGCACTGTGACAGAAACATCCGGACCAGGACTCTGTTTGGCTGCAATTCTCTTCGACGATGAGCATATGATGATACGGGAGCCTGCCAATTCCTTTTTTCTTCTGTGAGCTGGGATTGTCTGTGATGCCACGTCACGCTTTTTCAAATGGCGATAGGGGCCTGCAGCTGTGGAGATGGAAAGGGAAAGAAACTGGTTATATACGGAACATACAAAGAGGGGATTCAAGATGAGGAATATTTATCCATAAAAGCAAACAAAAGCTGTGTATTCATTGTGCCTTGGTTATATAAAAGAGAGGAACATCCAAACTAGCTGTGCCATATATGTGATTCATAATGGTATAAAAAACAGATTGGTTAGCAGGAGTATCTATATTCAGTTGATTGGATCACAAGATGTTCTACTTAAAGAGACCACAGGCTACAACATGCCACTAAGCATTAGATGTTAAACGTACAGGGATTGGCTCCTGTGTCATCCTCCTCCAGATGCTCCAGGGCTGTGACAAAGTCATCCTCGATTGATGAGACCGACTGGTTAGTGTCATCTTCCTCAGCCTGGCAGGACTCAGCTGAGCCCCTCTGGAGAGCCTGGATCTCCAACGCATAGCGAACGCCTGCCATGTAGCATCCTAGCAAACCGGCCAGAGAAGCTACGCTGGCCTGAGGGTAGAAGCTAGTGCTGGGGTTATGTCTCAGCACACACACAGTCTTTAACCAGCACTAAAGGATGTGAGAGAAAGAGAAAAAGAAAGGGAGGGAAAGAGAGAAAAGCTCACAGTTAGGCCTGGTGTATTCCGCTCATTTAGATTAAAATGACATTATTTGTAACCAACAAGCAGATGGAGTCTATAAACTCCACAATCTGCTGATAGTGTGAAAGATCTTTTGTATTGTTATGTCTGTACACGATGTCTGATTGAGATTTGATCTGTAGCATGTGCAGAATCACTCTGTGCTGGAGATAGGTGGGAGGTCTCACTGTCGGAAATGCCCGTCAAAACCACAGAGTGAGCAGCAGGGCAGAGTGTACCCAAACAGGACGGGCAGAACACAGGACCAGGAAGCAAAAGAGTGCGATCGTGGGCTGAAAAAACAACATCTGTGTCTGTCCGTCCAAACCTGCACTTCTTCAAAAGCGTGAAAAAGACTTGGGCTGCTTCCATGAAGAGGCAGACGAAGCCATAAGATTAGGAAACCGTTCAGTCAAGCTTTTTAGGAACAAAGATGTTACATTTCAAAAGCTACAAAAAATTACGAAATAATTGTCAAACTTAAAATATGAGAAATCAGACAAGATGGTCAGATATCTGTCAATAAAGTAATCAAATGTGCATACTTTGAAGTTGTTATACTAACTAAGCACTCACATACTAACAAAGCACTTATACACTAACTAAGCACTTAGATACTAACTAAGCACTTATACACTAACTAAGCACTTATACACTAACTAAGCACTTACACACTAACTAAGCACTTACATACTAACTAAGCACTTATACACTAACTAAGCACTTATATACTAACTAAGCACTTAGATATTAACTAAGCACTCACATACTAACAAAGCACTTATACACTAACTAAGCACTTAGATACTAACTAAGCACTTATATACTAACTAAGCACTTATATACTAACTAAGCACTTATATACTAACTAAGCACTTATATACTAACTAAGCACTTAGATACTAACTAAGCACTTATATACTAACTAAGCATTTATATACTAACTAAGCACTTATATACTAACTAAGCACTTATATACTAACAAAGCACTTATATACTAACTAAGCACTTATATACTAACTAAGCACTTATATACTAACAAAGCACTTGCATACTAACAAAGCACTTACATACTAACAAAGCACTTAGATACTAACTAAGCACTTATATACTAACTAAGCACTTATATACTAACAAAGCACTTGCATACTAACAAAGCACTTACATACTAACAAAGCACTTAGATACTAACTAAGCACTTATATACTAACTAAGCACTTATATACTAACTAAGCACTTATATACTAACTAAGCACTTAGATACTAACTAAGCACTTATATACTAACTAAGCACTTAGATACTAACTAAGCACTTATACACTAACTAAGCACTTATATATTAACAAAGCACTTATATACTAACTAAGCACTTATACACTAACAAAGCACTTATATACTAACTAAGCACTTATACACTAACTAAGCACTTATATATTAACAAAGCACTTATATACTAACTAAGCACTTATACACTAACTAAGCACTTACATACTAACTAAGCACTTATATACTAACAAAGCACTTATACACTAACTAAGCACTTAGATACTAACTAAGCACTTATACACTAACTAAGCACTTATATATTAACAAAGCACTTATACACTAACTAAGCACTTATACACTAACTAAGCACTTATATATTAACAAAGCACTTATATACTAACAAAGCACTTATACACTAACTAAGCACTTAGATACTAACTAAGCACTTATATACTAACTAAGCACTTATATACTAACTAAGCACTTATACACTAACTAAGCACTTATATATTAACAAAGCACTTATACACTAACTAAGCACTTATATATTAACAAAGCACTTATATACTAACAAAGCACTTATACACTAACTAAGCACTTAGATACTAACTAAGCACTTATATACTAACAAAGCACTTATATACTAACTAAGCACTTATATACTAACAAAGCACTTATACACTAACTAAGCACTTAGATACTAACTAAGCACTTATATACTAACAAAGCACTTATATACTAACTAAGCACTTATATACTAACAAAGCACTTATATACTAACAAAGCACTTACATACTAACTAAGCACTTATATACTAACTAAGCACTTATACACTAACTAAGCACTTAGATACTAACTAAGCACTTATATACTAACAAAGCACTTATATACTAACTAAGCACTTACATACTAACTAAGCACTTATATACTAACTAAGCACTTACATACTAACTAAGCACTTATATACTAACTAAGCACTTATATTCTAACTAAGCACTTACATACTAACTAAGCACTTATATATTAACAAAGCACTTATACACTAACTAAGCACTTACATACTAACTAAGCACTTATATATTAACAAAGCACTTATATACTAACAAAGCACTTATACACTAACTAAGCACTTAGATACTAACTAAGCACTTATATACTAACAAAGCACTTATATACTAACTAAGCACTTATATTCTAACAAAGCACTTATATACTAACAAAGCACTTATATACTAACTAAGCACTTACATACTAACTAAGCACTTATATACTAACTAAGGACTGGCTTATCTAAAGCTAGTTGAGTAGCACTTGAAATGTTTAGGCTCTATGAAACCTAATGTACTTATATGATTCTGTTATCTTCAAGTTTGTATCTTCTTGGTCGAATGCACTTATTGTAAGTCTCTTTGGATAACAGCGTCAGCTAAATGAAATGTAATATAAACATTGCTATGTTTTAATGTTATTATAGTTTTATTTTATGGTCAATTTATTTAAAAAGTGTTTATGTATGCACCAATTCCACCTTCCTCGTATGTGTTCAACTACTTGGCAATAAACCTGTTTCTGTTTCTGATTCTGATTTAAACCAAATACAACTTGAGCACATGATCTCATTCTCACTTCCCTTTATTGTCTCCCCTTCACTTCCCTGCCTTTATGCTCACTTCCACTTTACTTTAAAAAGGTGCTGACTGAGCACAATACGTAAGATCTGTGACGTACGTGAGGCCCGGCGTCTTTGTGCTCCGTCAGCCTGCGGGAGTCTTTGAGCAGCAGGACCTCGTCGTTCTTCAGGCTGTGAACGTGGAGCGACCTGAGAAGCTCACACAGCCCTCCTGGCAAAGATAACATGGCCTTGGGGAAGAAGAAGGAGAAGGAGACACAGAGGTGAATTATCTTAGCAGCCATCCTTAAAGGTCACCTATTATACAAAATCCACTTGTTCACGTCTCTTCTACATCAACATGTGTCCCCTCTTCTTCATGTCTCTTCTACATCAACATGTGTCCCCTCTTCTTCATGTCTCTTCTACATCAACATGTGTCCCCTCTGTGTAAAGAGATTCTGAAAGTTTCAGGAAAAAATATTCTCTCTTTTTGTCCCGATCCATTTCTATAAAAACCTGTATGACCTGAAAATGAGCTGATCGGATTTTGGCCACTTTATGATGTCATAACGATTTTTTTGGCTTGTGTAAACATTAGCCAATCACCAACCAAGGTAACCCCCCCACCTTATCACCTGAATCTCCTCCTAGAGCACCATTAGGCGCTTTCACACCGCAGTACTTTTCCCACAAAGGTTCATGAGTACTTAGTTCATGAGAACTCTTTAGTTCTCATGAACTAAGTACTGATCGCGTTCACACCGGAATAAGTCCCTGGGGGAGGATTAGGCAAATGAAGCCGCTGACGTCACTTCTTCTTCTTCTGCTTTGGGTTTACTGGCAGGCCGCAAACAACTTCACGGCGTATACTGCCACCCGAAGTCCCCGGCCGGAAGTCCCCGGAGTTGGGGCCTTCCGAGTAAATCGCCAGAACGCCGACACCTCCTGATCTCCACCGCTCCCATGTTTTCTTTTGTGTTGCCATAAGTTAGTCTCTCTGCGTTTGTGCGCTGGGCTAATGCTAATGCTAATAATGCTAATGCGAGGATAATAAAATGGCGGCTTCACAACACTTTTTGGGAGTTTTACGGGGCGTGGTTTGCAATCCGCCCAGCCAATCAGACATAGGAACCTTTTTCTCCCACGAAAGTCCCTGCTCTCTAGCAGGGACGGAAAACTGACGGAAAAGGGGGTAAAAAAGGTTCTCATGAACTCATTTTAGTTCCTGATTTTTTTGGTGTGAACGCAACATTTCGGAACTATATCGGAACTAAAGTGGGAAAAGTACTGCGGTGTGAACGCGCCTATTGAGTTCTTTTTAACCAAATGTCTCTCAGAGGGGCGTGGGGAGGGGCTCCTTATTGTCATCTAAAGTAACAGACAGAGAATCAGCACTTTGGAAACAGGGCTGAAACAGAGGGGATTATGGGATGCTGCAATGATCTGGTTGGTGTTTCAGACAAACACTTCAGAGACATGTTTTGTATACATCTGAGACCTGCAATATATTGTTGAAAAAGAGTATAATAGGTGACCTTTAACCTAACCTAACCCCTGACAAGTGTTTCGTTATTATGAATGAAAACATACCTGTTGGGTGGCATCTTCTCCTTCACATTGCTCAGGCAGACACACAAAATGAATCTGAAAGAGCACAGTTTAGGGTCACTGTTGATGTGTTTTTATGTTTGAATATGATATGTTTGCTGGTGTTTATGTGACAAACCTCCGTCAGTCTCGTGGAGTCTCTATTTGGAAGCTCCAGGCCAACGCTGCAAAGCTCCTTTTTATTCCTAAGGATGCTCTTCACACTCTGCGGCCCGACATCACGCACAGTCTTCAAACACATATACATACTTTGAGTTAGTGAATGGTTACCCAATAGAACATTTATGAGAAACCAATGTATAGATTTAAGGATACTGATGCTTAGACACATGTTAAACAAAATGACCCCAACAGATCATAACTGTAACTTAAAGATGTAATAAGTATAACTAGAACTAATAAATATGGTATTTTTTTCATTATATGTCTTTGCTATTTGACTTACTTATTTACCCTACATGTGTAATCTTTTTATATAAATCTCCTATAGGCCTGTAGAAAATGATGTTCCAATTACTTTTGAGAAATAAATACACAACGTCTCTGTATTTTACAATTAATGTAGCGTGCATAAAACATGACTATTTAGTGAATCTTCTGTTATGCATCTGGCTGCTTTTACACAGGACAATTATCCTGGCTAATCAGATTATATTCAAATAGACATTTTAAAAACACGTACACCTAACATATCATACATCATTACATAAGAGCAAGTCAAATACATAAATGTTTTGTCTACCTGCCCTCGTAGCAAATTGACTAAATGACTTGCAAGCTACTCAATACATTACAATAGTTTTTGGGTTGGAGAGTGAAGCAAATCTAGAAACCACTTTTACCATATTTTACCAGCTTTTGGCTAATGCTAGTGCTAATTTCCAACACTGAATGGCATCCATAAACAAAGACTGGAGGGTGGGGCTTGACATGTAATTTCAAAAGACACAAAACACAACAGATAGAAGCAGAATAAGATGCTGTAACTCTGTAAACCGACCTCTTTCCGGACTGTGGCCCTGGATCTTATCGGGACTCCTCTAATACGAGCACAGGCGTCCATAGTGACGGAGAGCTGACCGGCCGCTCACCTGCGAGTAGAAAGGTGCCACAGGAGAAGAAATGGAGTTAGCGACATGGCAAAAAGAGTTTAGACAATAAGGTCAATATAAGAGAGCATAGAAATGATTCAGAGTTATATCATCTCTTTCCACAGCTGAGCCCTGTGGCGTATGTAGTCTCTCCAGTTCTATCAACAACCCTCAGCAAGTATAAGAAAACAGAAATGTTCAAAGTGAACTCTCTCTCATGCTCCTCAGCTGTCTCTGAACCACAGCATCACATGATGAAGCCATGACAGTATCTGAGCTATTAGTAAACACAGAGATATCACACTGTGTCTCTATCTGCTGTTGCACACTATGTGCCAAAATAAGGAAGTAACTGGTTTATTCACAGGTGATTTACTGAACCAACGGTTAGCAATGAACTCAAGATTAAAACACAGTTCAACACAAGAGGCACAACACAGAGAATCTCAAACCCATGTAAAAAAAATAACAAATAATCAATTACTTAAGCTTCCTGTTGTGTCAGAACAATGGGATTTGTCATCTAATTGCCACACAGATAACATCATGATCACAACTTATATGCAAACTTACTTTTTCACAAACTGCAAGTCATTTTAAGTGTTTAGAAACAAAGTATTATAAGTATTTATTAAAAGATTCTGTTAAAAGTGAGCTTTCATTTTTGTTCAATGTTGTCTCTGTATGATTTAAATATTAAAACAACACTTTGTAATGTTCTTAAGGACTACAATAACATTTAAAACAGTATGCCAAATAAGTCGGAACACTAATTGTCTCACATTTAAGGTATTTTTATATTAGTTTTCCAAAAAGCAGTCAAAACAGGACATGATATTTGGACAGAAAGATTATAAATATTAAATGGTTTGGAAAAGTTAGAGTGTGTACGTAAATATGAAAGGTGCTTCTTAGAAATAATATTGTTAAAAACATTTAAAGATGATATTTGACTAAAGGAAATACACTTGGACGGAAAATATAGGACATTAATCCATCAAATGTTTCTATTTTAAAGGTCACCTGTCATGCTATTTTTAGGCAATAGCATAGGTCTCAGATATATAAAAATATATAAAAAACATGTCTATGAAGTGTTTTGCTCAAAATACCAAACAGATCACCCATTCTAGCCATGCCTCATATCCCGCTATTTCACTTCCTGTTTCAAAAGTGCTGATTTGGGTATAAAGCTTAAAAAAATTTAAAAAATAGATAAGAATCAAAAAGGAGGGGGCTGAGCTCATGCGGGACCCGGCAGCTACTGTCTAAACTAAATGCTGCCGTGATGAAACGCCATATCATGGATTATCAAGGATTGTTTCTGAAACAGTATGGAGCTCAAAGGCTTTCTCTCTTGCCGGTTATACCACAAGGTGAGTTCCTTTTTATTTCCTGCTTCTTCACACACATGCTCTCCAGTACAGGTTAGCTCTGAGTGTTAGCGATGCTAATGTAAACACCGACCATATTACGTCCAAAACAGTCGGGCATTGTTTCTGATAGCAACTTTTCTGATAGGGCCGTGGGTCCACATTTCAGATATTACGTCATATCGGACGCAAATCTGGATCAGCTCCGTTGTAGCCCCGTTTTTAGAGATTTGGGTACGGAGGAAAAGAGAGAGGGTTTTATTTTCTGACGCTGCGTGAGTTCCCTGACACACCGGGGACACATATTTATGTATAAAAGACATAATTTTGCATGATAGGTCCCCTTTAAAATCGGTTTTAGGTAGTGAAAGTTCATTTTTTTGACACTACATTTAAAAAAAAAAAGATAAGTAATGACTTGGGTTTAAGTTGGCTTAAAAGGTGTAACCAAAATGTGGGTAACCATGTATACTATATGTTTTATAAACACCAGGACAAAGGTTGCCCAGTTGCCAGGAAGACAACAGAAAGGTTAAAGGAGGCCTAGACTTGTCCTGCTGCTGCGGAGGATAATCTGCAGAAGGCCTCTGCTTCTTTGATATTCTTTAAACACTCAGGCCCACATCAAAGATCAAACAGCGAGGCTCAGAGGACAGGGGTGTGTGATCAGAGCCGGGGAAACACGCTCGGTAAGCAGCGGGTAAAGGAGGCAAAATATTTACAGTGTACAAGAAGGAAAAGTTTCCCAAGAAATCCAAGCCTCTCCTTTGAGGTACGGTCCAAAGCTGAGTCTAGACACATGCAGGCGGTCCTTCATCCTGAGAACCAGAGGGCTCTGTATGTATTATTATTAGGGGTGGGGGAAATAATCAATACAGCATAGTCCGGTGGACCAACATGGGACCTTATTTCGGAAAAAATATGTATGGAAGTCAATGGCGAGAGAGAAATTATTTGTTGTCCCCGTTTGAATTGTGCCATGAATTACACACATATGATGTTTGTCAATTTAAAAAAATAATTTCCAAGTCAAGAAAGTCACAGTTTGTCGTAAAACTGTTGAAATATAAGACTATCTCTTTGAAATAACATCCATAACATTAATCTGGCTGCTACTTAGAAATTATTTATCTAATATATCATATTCGAATAACTTGTATAAAGACTCTTATTGCACATTTCACCATTTCATTTTTTTTCTTTTTGTATTTACTATTTACTTGCACTATTTTTTTCAGTTTTATTGTGTTGCACTGTTGGAGGAGCCTGTGACCTAATATTTTCATCGTCATAACTACACTATCTCTGTACGTATGACCAATAAGAGCCTTGAACCTTGAACTATGAAAATATGCAACTTGAAAGACACACACTCGTTTACCACTCACCGAAACCTTGTACAGCCGGTCCGCATGCTGGCTCTCACGGAACCGACTAACTCCCGTTTTGTGTAATAGCAGCTCTCAACATGCCCAGACGTTTAATGATTTTCACATCGTTTAATACTTTTCACCTCATTCTGAAAGAAAGAGGTGAAATGTGCCAAGGTGACGGCCATCTTGGTGTTGGTGACGTGTGTTGTGCGAGACCAGAGATGTAGTTCATTGAGCGGTTTCAAACAAAACCAAGTGTTACTTCACAGTTTTACGACCAACTTTTTTTTTATTGACTTGCAAAATTATCTTTTAAATTGACAAACATCATATGTGTAATTCATGGCACAATTCAAACGGGATCGAAAGATAATTTCTCTCTCGCCATTTACTTCAATACATATTTTTTCCGAAATAAGGTCCCATGGGTCGGAAGTAGAAGGGCGGGACTTAGGCTCTCTTTCGCGCTACTTTGCGTGGTGATATTGTATCGATACACGGGCGCCAAGTATCGATATTTTATTATATAAACTATTCATAATAGCAAATCCAAATTAAAGTTGTTGGTAACAATTGCTTTTTCAATCCACTAGATGGCGCTGAGCTTTTTCTTGTGCTGTCATGGGAAAAGTCAGTGGGATTGGCAGGAAGTTAGTCAAAACAAAGATGGTATCGCAATGCTTAGCATATCGTAGAATCGCAATACTATCGTATCGTGGCTTAATATCGCGATCGTATCGTGGGGTGATTCCCATCCCTAATTATTATGTACTAATATTTGTATTTTCTGTTTGGCCTTATGACGGCTAAAATTGGATGACCATTTTAGTTTTCACTTCATATAGCATTGTAATTAAATTGCATGAAATGATGAGCTGTTTATGTTTGACAGTGAGTGTAGATCATTTGTTTATATATAATTTAGAGTCAGTAATATTTTTGTTTATCAATTTGACACTGCTTAAAGTGGACCTATCATGCTATATTTGAATAATATAGTGTAGGACCATACCTATATAAGGCATATTTATACTTTTTTTTTTTCAAAATACCAAACAGATCATGCATTTTAGCCATGCCTCATTTTGCTCAATTTGACATTTCTAGCTGTTTTAGCAAGGGCTGATTCAGTGAGAACAGCACCATCTACTGGCCTGGCATATGTACTACAGCGTCTCCAGCGCTTTCGAACGGCAATGGCCGTGGCTGTCTCCTCCTGATTGGTGGAGTTGGCCCAATAGCCGTAGCGCCACTGTCCTGACGTCAGGACAGTGTTCAAATCTGGATCAGTTTTTATCAGATCCGTTGCAGCCCCTTTTTTAGAGATTTGGGTATGGAGGAAAATAGAGAGGGTTGTGTTTTCTGACACTTGGTGAGTTCCCTGGAACACCGGGGACACATATTCATGTATACAAGACGTGCAAAAGTGCATTTTGCATGATAGGTCCCCTTTAAGTTTGTATAGTATAATAATTCTCATGTTTCATTTCATTTTATTTTTTTGTTGAATTATTGTTTTACATTCAAATCAGATACAAAAAAGTGTGAAGACCCGAAGAATAGCCAATGCTCATGCTAGTGCTAATGGGGATCCTAATAAAGAACAAGAACAAGAGCACAGGTTTCCTCCACTGATCCAGGACCTCCTAGCTTCTCGTGGGTGCCTTGGTGGGCAGTGTGCAAAAACAACACGACCAGCTGCTGCTGCTACATAAACCTCAACTATGCAGCAAATTCAATCACAACGCAAGCCGGCACAGTGACGTCTGTCAAAGACGTCATTTATACCGGGGACGCTGGGAATATGTCCTCCACCACTTTTAGAAATGGGCATGTTTTGTCCCCACCACTTTGCAATAGGATCATTTGTTTAAAACTGTTCTGAAAATAGCGTGCACAAAGAATTGTACACTTTGAGGAAGGTTTATTTGCACATGAGCGTCTTTGAGCATTGTATTATTATTATTATTATTATTATTAAGAGAACGTATACAATCTGGAGGACTGTTCACACTTTCTGGGGGTATTTCTGGCGACCCAAGTGGACCTGCGACAAGTTTAATATTAGTAATAATTGAGGAAAGAATAGGAAAGCTATTGTTGCTCCCAGCAGCGTAGCATAGTAACTAGTTGCACTAGTTGTCAAAAAAAGTACGTATATATGTATTTAATGTTTACGGGGCGCTTTATGCAGTGTTTTTTTAAGTGTCTCAACCACTTTTTCAAACAAAGTGACGCACATGACTTCTGTTATGGCTCTGACTATCTGCTTTTATTAGCCTGAGATGTCTTTATGTTCAGATCACAGCTCTAGTATTCAGTGATACACGATGAAAACTAACCTACGTCACCACATCGTGCAACCAATGTGGTCCAATTACAGCTAAACGATTTGGTATTTTCCCTGTCATGGATAAACTGTAATTAAGAGAGACTAGTTTAGGCTTAAAAACAATGACTCATCAAACAAATTATCATCACAAAAATGGAATGAAGCTAAGCAGATCCCGCCGCCAAAAGGATTCTGAGGGGGTGTTTGTGATCTTCTTGGAGAGGAGACAGAAAAACAACCTGTCAAGGGCAGGAACTGTGTAGTCTAAAATCTAAAATTCTGTTTGCTTCGGAGCTGATGTGGGCCAAGATTTTGAGAACGAAGTGTGGGTGGCCGGAAGGAGGGATAAACAGAAAACTGAGAACAGACTGCGAGACGTGAGAAGAAGTCAAGAGTGAGAAAACAAACGCTGCTCTGTAACGAGGCACAGGTGACCTTCTGCTCCGGTGATATCAGTGGAGAAAAGATATGAGATTATGACATTAATAAGAAAACGTATTTTAAGAGTGTCTTCATTACTAATGTCTTACAAATGTGAACTTTTATTCTCTTAAGTTGACAAACATACTGTACACATAATAATGTAGTGGTTATTTCTATTCTATTTTATTTGTATTTACTTGCACATCTCAACTATTTTATTGTTTTATGTCCAATATATATTCATGTTGCACAGTTGGAGGAGCCTGTGACTTAAGTTTTTCTTTGTCATATCTACACTGTAGCTACTGTGCCCAATAAAGCCTTGCACTGAACTTGGCTGTGGCATATAGAGACATATGTTGGAGCTGCAGATGCTCCGTAGTGCAGTTAAAATGATAATTCGCCAAATCAATTATCTACAGCTATTTTAAATGATGATTAATTCAATTTCTCATGCAAAAGCGCCATACACTGCCGAGTTCACAGGTGCTACTAATAAACCTTAACGATGCCACTGTTCTATACACGGGTCCCAGTACGGTGTGACATGGAGACAATGAGAGAAACCAGGACTCTGAAACTAAAACAGGTAAGTGAGGGAAACTGCCATTCATTTGTATTATATACACACACCTTGATTTACTGATTTTCTTTGTCAAATGTGAGAGGAATTAAATGTCTTTGGGTTTCAAACAATCACTTTTATGACATTTTGAGGGCCATTGAGAGGTTTAATCATTTATTTGAACCGGGACAGTGCACATTAATGAACATTTTAAACAAAATAATGCTTTTAGATGTAAATGAGCCGGATTTGAGCTTTGAGCTAGTTTCCATCCGTAGTCCCGTCACATCCAACATTTATGAACACAACATTTATATACAAGGTTAATGTCCGGCAGTGGCTCAGTCAGTAGGGGCTTGGACTGTGAGCCGTAGGGTCGCCGGTTCAAGTCCCCGAACAGACTTAAATATGTGTATATGAGTGTGGACTGCTACTTGGAGAGGTCACAGTTCACCTCCTGGGCCCTTGAGCAAGGCACCGGACAACCACCTTCCCCCCCCCCACTCCCATTGCTCCCCGGGCGCTGTACAATAGCTGCCCACTGCTCCTAGTACTAGACTCCTGGTACTAGGATGGGTTAAACACATGTCACTGTGTGTGCTGGGGGCTCTGCATGTGTGACCATTAAAGAGGGGTGTCATCCCTCCGATTCTATTCTATTAATCAATAATTAGAAGAATAAGATGCAGCCCTACTCTAAAGAGAAAAACTCCTGAGACACAATAATGATGTACTGTCTCAAAACTAAAATGCAACTATCAATTAATCATTTTCTTTACTAATCAACTTGTCCTTAAAATATCAGAATACAGCAGCCAGTTTTTCAAAGTCTAAGTTATTCCCTTAAAAGTCTTGTTTTTCTAGTCCAAGGCCCACAGATATCCAGAACAATGTGAAATAAAACAGAGAAAAGCAGAATTGAGAAGATGATAACAGCATTTGTTGCCATTTTTGCAAGAAGAATGATTAAAAAGGCGATTACTTTCTGTCGATCAACTACTCATTGCAGCTCCAATGTTCTTCTATTGATGGCACACATTCAAGTATTTACATTAGTGTTCAGTTCCACTTGAACAGCACAATGCAATTTCTATTTTAAGCTCTTAAGTGTCACCTCTGGGTGTCTTGAAAACAACACCTTCCTCCTTCAGAGAAAGAGAGTCATTTAAGAAATCATGTTTTCACTAACCATTGCGTGCACCAAATGTATATTATATTGTCAAGTGCATCATCATTGCAGCTTGAATGGGTCGCATGAACACATTTAGCTGAAAATGACTTATAAACAACGTTCATACATCAGACTAGGTGATGCATGCTACACCTACGCATGTCATACACATATTCTCAAGGAAAGAGAGCTACATTTGTTATTTTGCAAGTAAGAGATGATGTGTTCACTAAATACTGTGTCTACAAAATGTATGTTATACTTTATCTGTTTTATTGGGTTGCATTGTTGGAGGAGCTTGTGACCTAATATTTTCATTGTCATAACTACACTGTAGCCATGTACAAATGACAATAAAAGCCTTGAATTTTGAATCTTGAAATGTCATTTTCAGCTAAATGTGTTCATGCAACCGATTCAAGGAGCAGAAATATAACACATTTAGCTGAAAATGACTGTCACACATCAGACTGGATGTTGCATTCAACACCTATGCATGTAACACACCTCTTAACGTTAGCGAAAGGTTAATAAAGGCATGTTATGGTGGAGGAATAGCTGTGTAATGTTGCAGTTTGTGGGGCTGGTCCTCCTCCGCAGCAGCAGGCCGAAGAGGAGCCTCTCTCTGTGGATGCTGATGTTGACTCACCACCGCTAACTGCTCTATGCTAACACAACACAGTCAACACACACGCCAGTATGAAGCCATTTCAGCTCAAAACAAACCATTTTTAAAACCACAGGTAATGACAGTCACACAGAGCTTCATAAAACCACCTTGTTAGTTGACAAGCTGACATCACAGAGGCTAGTAGGCCGCGGTCTGTGACGTCACCGTATTGTCGTTAGCTAGCCACGAAGCTAACGACAACATTAGATTTAACTACACAACAACAAACAGCATTATGTTGTCTTTACAGTGTTGTATTAACATGACTATTAGACGTTATTGAGTGATATTTCCTCACCCCTCAGTGTCGGTGGGTCTCCAGCAGCGTTGACGACAGCCGCTGGGTTTCATGCGCGAACCGTCAACGATCCGTCAGTTAGGAACGGTTCTTGCTAACGTAACTGACATAAATTACGTAACCAACGTAACTAAAGGGAAGCAACTTCACTCATGCTTTCCTTACTCCAGTTTTACAATTGTATCAGAGGTGGAAGAAGTACTACACAATTGTAAAGTCAAAGTGCAAAAGTATTGGTATCTCAATACACTTCAAGTACAAAAAGTACACATTTTCCGGTATGGCCCACATCAGATTAAAAAATATTACATAGTATTATAATTATTATTGCATTCATGTCAATCTTCACTTGGTAAAGGTGGGGGTTATTTAAATTACTTGATACACTGCTGGGTTGCTTAACCTCTAATAATCATTAGAACAAATCATGATTTTTTTGGTTGATTTATATTCTGTATTTTAAATTCATACCTGCAAAGTAGCTGGTAACAACATTTGTAAAATAAATAGTAGTGGAGTAAAAAGTACAAAATTGCCTCCAAAATGTAGTAAAGTATAAAGTACCTCAAAAGTGTACCCTTAGATGCACGAGTGACTGGACCCTACACTCTTCCAATAATGGGTTAAAAAAGGACCCGTATTAGAATAATATGTGTCTTTTTTTGCCATTGTTGTCGTTTTGGTTAAGAAAAATCACTTGTATAATATTTAGTATTATATTTTGGTTCACACTAGAAATATTTTATATTTGATTTTTCACTATTTATAATTTTAGACATTTTCTTTACATTTTGAAAAAAAACGTTTCGAACATATCGATGCAGTATTCCAGTCCCTTTTCAAAACTCAATAGAATATTACTTGTAATGTACACTTGTACAAATACAGTATTATTTGTTGGGAGTCAGGACGGTAGCTCAACTCATATTTTCAGCATTTAACTCTGAGAAATTACTATTTAAATATTAAATAAGCTAAAAATAATAACAATTCATTTTACCCTCTAACGAGTCATTTTCACCGATTCTCCAAAATGAACCGAACTCCCCATTTCCGGCGCATCACCTTCTTCCCATGAAAACAAGACCGAGGCATCATCAATCGAACCACGAGAAAACGATGTGTGTCGCACTGGCGCTGTCGATCACAGAGCAATCAAACTGCAGTGTGTTTTGAACATGGTTTAGTCACGTTTTTTAACAGCATTTATGTTTCATAGAATATGATTTTATGCCACAGTGGATAAAGATATATAAACACACAAACTACCCCTGTTGAAAGAAGTGAAATGCCAACATGTGTCATTGAATTTATTCAAATATTGCATTTTGCATGTATTTAAATCTCCCTGCAGACACATTTTTTATGGTAGCCTACATTATATACCGTTTTGCTATTTCTAAAGCACCCTTTCTCTAGCTGCTTGTAACGGATACAAAGCACTCGCAAATGGCTGCTTAACATTTGTAAATACCCTTATGAAACAAAAATATATTGTAATATATTGGTAAATATAATACAATATACTGGATCATACATTTCCATATATGGGAAAGTAGTCCTTATATTTTTTTATATATTGCAATATATGCATGGACCATGTATGGCTATATATTGATACATATAAAAAAATAATATTGCAATGAAAACAAAAACTGCACTATACATTTGTATATGTAATAGTTTTATTGAAACACTCATTTATCTTTCATGAGTTACACAAGTTTACATAAAGTTGAACAGATATTAATAAACAGTTATCTCACTTCGTTTTGTATAGTTACCCACTTTATATATGAACATATGTTTGATGGTATATATTAAAAAAGTACAAATACTCCATTGTCCATTGAATGATGGAAAATAATATACAGTTTATAAATATATACAGACACACACATATATGCAAATATGCACGCATATATGCACATATATATATGCACATATATATGTATAAATATGCACATATTTTTTCATTCTTGAATATACTATAATATACTTACTTCTTATTTCTATTTGTACTGAGATATTCTTGGAAATTAAATGAGAATCCATAAAACAGCTGGCGTTTGGATTCTGGTTACGGCCGACCAGCTATTTGGAGTGGAACGCAGCCCATCCACGGCAGTAAGCCCAAACAGTAATCGAATGCGCTGACAGTGGCTGAGTTAGTTCACATTTTAGTTGTTATTGCCCCTGCTGACAATTGTGTGGATAATATGTAGCCTACAGTCAATGGAATTTCACATGTTGCTCTCCAATGTATGTTATTTTAATGTTGACACATAATACTATAACTGTATATTTTACAGGAGCATCGTTGAAATTCCTAGGTCGAACTAAGCCTGCAGAACCACAAGTCAAGAGGTCAGAGGAGCCAGATCGCAGTGGTGAGGAACGCACTGTCATTTCATTTCACTGTAATTTTACTTTTCACATATCACTTTATTCACTATTCAGCTTAGTTATTTATTCAGTTATTTTATTACTGGTACTGCTAATTGCACTATGTGTATTGTTGTATATTGTATATACGTATGTATTTACTACTGCTACTTACAACATCGAGGGTTGTAGCTTTGTGTCAGTACATATTTCAGGGTTTTTCTATGCCTTTGTTTGTTCATCTAAATTCTAATACTCATAGGCGACTATAACTCCTGCCGATGCCGAGGCCCAGTTCTCCATTCCCACCACCCCAGGCTCATTGTGCTAGGTAAAACTCTCATTCAATAAAAGTAGTCTTTTAAAGATGAATGCAATTACATTTTTAAAAGTTTTAAACAGAACTGTTACAGATGCATCATTTCGCGGTATTTGGCTGCCGAACGAAATCATGTACGCAGCTCGCGACGTAACTATGAGTCTAGTGGACGGTATCAGTACTAAAAGTAAAAAAAATATATATATTTTTTAAATTAATTACGTTGTTTATAAATTAATCTGAGGGCCGCAAAAAGAGGAGGTGCGGGCCGCATGCGACCCCCGGGCCGCCATTTGCCCATCCCTGATATACATGTCCCCATATAAATCTGAATATATAGTAAATGTATGTTCACATACACAACCAATATATTATATACATTTACATATATTACTCAATATATGAAAAGCGGCAATTACTGATATATTATCCCATATATTGTAATATATTAACACAATATATTATTCTATATATCTTCAATATATTTTGTTGATATGAATATATATTTTGTTCCTGTTGATTATTAATCCGTATCAGTTGGTGCAGCCAACAGCAAGATTTACTTTATTAAATCTTTTCAATTAACCAGTAAATCAGAACACTAAATAATGTAATATATTGACAGTTAATCTATGGGGAAATATATTTTCTTTGCGTAAGGGATACAGCTGTATCACTAAATGTGCAGCTGATGCTATGCTCTATTGACATGTATTGGTGTTTATTTATTCCACGTAGTCAATACATTGTTAATTAGTTACATTGCACACTGTTCACTCCTTCAAATAAACGATGTAACATTCAAAATATTATATATGCCCATTTTAACGAAAGTGGGCGTTTCTAAAATAAAGAATATCATAAAAAATGTAAATTATTTCCAAGCAGCAATTTGTAGATTGACCATAATTTGTTTTTTCAACCATTTGTGTGTCTGCTTGTGCACCTGACTGTAAATCCATCCAAGAGACTGAACTGAACTGCACCTGTGTGACCTCATTTTCTAGTAATTTGATATCACTTCAGATTTTAAAACCACACCTTCTCTGGTTGCTTAAAGGAAAACATCTCAAGGGTAAAACTCAATAATCAAAAGAATGTGTGCCAAGTGTTGCTTGTTGTTGTTAACGCATAAATGAACTGAGAAATAATCAGTCAGTCCTTGAATAACTCAAACCTGATGACTGAATGTTGAAATAGTTCCCCGACATGTTTCCATTTCCTCCACATGTTATTGTATTTCCATGTAGATTGTCAATGCATCTCAGAGAAAATGCAAGCCAAACCTCCTGGAAACTTGAGTTTACTGCGGTCACATCACGAGAAACAACAACATATGGAAGTTGGACAAACTCCCCATGTTTCACAAGTTGAGGTAACTCCTTGTTGACAAGTGGTGAAACCGAGCTGGAAAGGAATGGGCAGAGATCGCCAGAGATGAAGAGAAAAAACATGAGTTTTCCACAACTGATTTATCCAATAGTCTACTTGCCAGCATAGTGAAGACCCTGGAATGTTGAGTACCCCCAAATTACAAATAGAAATGTATAGTACGGGTCCCCAGCACATGAAAACTGCAGGGATGCTAACTTGTATAACTTAGCATAAGTTGTGTTAACTAAAATGAATGGGCATGTGGATAATAGTTTTAACATTTCTTGGTCGATTTAGACCATTTTGGAGTGGTTTTGGGGGTTATTGAGGAAGCTGAATCCATATCTGACCTTTTCAGGAACAAAAAAGACAGTTTTAACCATAAAGTGGTCATATTTGTCTTTCTCAAATAAATGAGCAATCTGTCAAATCCAAATGATCCAGTCCCCTAAATCTTCAAAATCGATCAAATATTCATCAAAATCAGCACACAGAGGTACAAACGAAACAAATATTGGCATTTGCTGGTTAATACTGCCATTGTTGATACTGAAACTGTACTCAGCATCCTCAAAAAAACCCAAATCACTCCAAAATGGTCCAAATCAGCAATTTTGGTATTATATTATATTTTATTTTTATTTACTTGCACTGTTATCTGTTTTATTGTGTTGCACTGTTGGAGGAGCCTGAGATGTTCATTGTCATAACTACACTGTAGCGATGTACAAACGACAATAAAAACCTTGAATTTTGAATCTGGAAATGTCATTTTCAGCTAAATGTGTTATATTTCTGCTCCTTCAATCGGTTGCATGAACACATTTAGCTGAAAATGACTGTCATACATCAGACTGGATGTTGCATTCAACAGACCTATTCACATTAGCAAAAGGTTAATAAATGCATGTTATGGTGTGTAATGTTGCCTCCTCAAAACCCCCCAAATCACTCCAAAATGGTCCAAATCAGCCAAGCAACTTTTGTTGCTATTGTCTGCGTATGCTAATTAAGTAAATGTATGCTAATAAAGCAAATTGGCCAACAAATGCAAGTTAGCATCCTGCAGTTTCAATATGCTGGGGACCCATACTATACATTTCTAACATAAACTTTGGGTACTCAACATTTCTTGGTTCACAACAGGACTCTATGAGCTGGCAAACAGACTAATAAGTGTTCTATTTCGTCCCTACTGACCGCCAGAGGCGGTGCTTTAGCACTGGATATATCCATCGCACGCATGCGCAGTTCGAGTACCAATAACAACAAAGTCACCTGTGACCTACGTGACACCGGCTACATAGGCCGGCGTCATCAGAGGATCTGTTCCTTCTCATCTTCTCGCTGTGCGAGAGTACCGCGGCTACATTCTTGTAGCCTACAGCATTCAGGTTTGAACGTTTGATCTGAGGGATTTCTCTGCATGCAGCTGGCCGCGTGCAGCTTTGTATGGAAAGCCCAGGGTGCCATATTTTGCCCGTTTTTTGCCATAGCCTCAGGGAAGCGAGTTGGGGAGTTGCATGTCGTCTCCGTAAGCGATACATGCCCGAGGTGGGACTCTCAGGTGTTGCCCTTGGCATTCCTGCCCAGGGTGCTTCCACAAACCCACTTTAATCAGCCTGCCCAGCTGGCACGCTTTGACATTCAGGAGAACGGCACGTCGAAGTTGCTGTGCCCTGTGGGTGCCCTGTGGGTGCCCTGTGGGTGCCCTGTGGGTGCCCAAAGGGCGTATATCGAGGCTACTGCCTGTATACGGCAGTCGGAGCAGCTCTTTGTTTGCCAGGGCGGCACTAAAGGAGGTTGTGCCCTCTAACCAGCGGCTGCCCCACTGGGTTGTCAATACCATCTCACATGCCTACGGGGCCAGTGGCCGCCCCCTGCCATCAGGGCTGAGATGCCACTCTACAAGGAGCATCTCAACATCTTGGGCTGCCCTGAGAGTGGTGCCCCTGGAGACCATCTGCGCTGCGGCGTCGCGGGCGAGCTCCGCTGCTTCCAGTAGTGAGCAAGGGCTTGGATTCTTCATGACATGGTTGGTATAAGTCATCCAGTGCTAAAGCACCGCCTCTGGCGGTCAGTAGGGATGAAATAGAACGATAGTTACGGCTGTAACTACGGTTCTATGAGTCCCGGATGACCGCCAGAGTATCCTGTCACTCAGAATTATTGTGTGCTCGCGAGAAGATTCTGGGAACAGATCCTCTGATGACGCCGGCCTATGTAGCCGGTGTCACGTGGGTCACAGGTGACTTTGTTGTTATTGGTACTCGAACTGCGCATGCGTGCGATGGATATATCCAGTGCTAAAGCACCGCCTCTGGCGGTCAGTAGGGACTCATAGAACCGTAGTTACAGCCGTAACTATCAATTTGTCCTATGGAGAAACTTTAAACAGAAGGTTTTCTCATTTGAAAAGCCACTAAATAGCTTTAAATCTTTGCACACTCAACTTAAACTCATTGTATTCCCTTGAGATATAGCACTGATTCATTTCCTTGAAGGGAAGTCAACACAAAGTGAGGCAGAAACTGCATATGTATTTGGTTTTATTGAAGAAGAGAGATATGAATAGGTAGCCTGTTTTAAGGCACCTTACAAATGTACAACAAAAGCTCAACCATTTATTTATTCAGAATACAAAAATACACATCTCAGTGACTCCAAATCGTAATAAATAGTTAACCATGCATTCTAACCATAAAAAGGCACAGAAAACAGTCACTTAGTAGTCATACAAATGATCAACTACTTTACCAAAAATCATCCAGATAGTAATACAGGTGACAACTGTAACATTATATTCCAAATGTGAAAACACAATACACATCATGTCAGTTAACCTTAGGCAATAAATATGCAAATATTGTTTATACCTACATATATATTCTTAAAAATTAAAACTGTGCCATTGTAAACATAATGTAAACAAATGAAACTCACTTTTCTCCCATAGGAACCACGTCAAAAACCATATGTTCATCCCGTCTTTTTTTTTTTTTAGATCCTTGCATGGGTTTCGTTTGGTTTTTCGGGAAAACCAGGCAGTTTTGCAGCATTATTTACAAACTACTGGAAAACACAGCGAGGGAGATTAAGAGGTGGCTACTTCAAGTCTGGGGCCAAAACACTTGAGATTGAGAGAAACCCAGCAGACACTTTGGACGAACAGAGACAGAACAGGTGAGGAGCTGCAACAGTGAGAGTGGATCAGTGATGAAGATTAAATGTGGATTTGAGGCCAGACTTAACGAGCACTGCAGGAACAAGGCAGCGTTTAGCAGATACTGCTCCATATAAAGCACATACTGAAACTTAAATAGAGTTTCTATAGCAAAAGGTCATAAAAGGTATCAATGATTTTGATATTCTAATGAATTAAAGGCAGAGTTTTGTCCACAAATGATCTTCAGTCAGGCTGCGGTGCGATAAAATACGGAAGAATATGTGTTAATCTGTCCATCTTTAGCTACAAATATCTTCTTTTAGGCAGGATTTGCATGAAAACTCGTATATTAGATTGGAATTGAACTGATTCCTGCATGCCAATGAGCAATATTGCAGAAAATAGCAAATAAATAGCCTGACTAAATTGATTGTCGGCAGATAAACAGTAAATATTCTGTTTAGAGTCGCCCTCTGGTGGGATATTACGGTAGTTTCACTGTCATTTCTATTATTTTGAAGGATACTTTGATGAACGATGAAAATGTGGCACTCGATATTAAGTTAAAAAAGTAAGGTTTTAAATAAATCCTTAACAGCAAACATATATATATAACTCTTAGAGGACATAAAGGCAACTAATTATTCTCCAAAGGGGGAACTAGAGTTGAAATGATATAGTAAGTTGGCAATGGTAAATATACAATTGCTGATAAGTTATCCACTGTTGTAGTAGCCCAAACACACACAGATGCATTGTGGTACATATTACATGTGAACACAACAGTCATGTCTGCCATTCACTGACACAGTCCTACTTCAGTGTATCACCCTGGAAGCACAGAGGAGCAAAACTACAAACTAGTGAACCGCTGGAAGAATATTTTTGTGTGTGGAGTCCATAAGAAAAAGCAGTCTGTCTGCGGGCTTTAACTTTTTAAAATCTAAATCCCCAAACCTCGAGGATGTACAAAAAACTTTTTTTTTTCGCACTGAGAAACATCATGTTGGAAAGCTGCAGAGACAGTATCAAAACAAGAGATAAAATATTGCACCATCATAAGAATACAACAGCATCATCAAGAGATCAGAACAACGTACACAATTGTTATGGTGTAATATACACAATCAAATGTGTAAGCTGTTGACAATGCATGCCATGTCAGCAAAATCTACAAATGCATTATTAGACTACAACACTTACAAACATTGTTTGCATACACTGGCATACTGTATATACAGTGCATATATGTATATACAAAACTTAGCATCACATATAGAAATATACCCTGTAATGCCACCAGTCTTAGAAGAAACTAAAATAAGTGTTTTCTAACAACTTGTAAATAGAAGAAGAAAAAAAAAGCTGCACTTGAACAACGCTATGCAGGCTGCAGATCAACTGCTCTATTTAAAAGCTATCCTCGTTAGTGTTAAATACTGTGTTAATCGGCAAAAGTTACAAAGTTGAGGTGAACCGTTAACGCTATGTAATGATATGAGTGTTTGCACTTGCACAAAGCAAGACGTTAAAAGTGCCTTTTTAAGAGTTCCTTTAAAAATAACCCTACAGCTAATACGATGAATTTCCTCTCCTGACTAATGAGCATTTTCATCTCACCTTAAATGGAATTCAAACTAATTGCTTATTAAATTAAGAGCTGCAAACTAAGTGATCAGATGTTTTCTTCTTCCACATTCACTTTGGTACTGATATCCACTAAGAACGTGTCACCGTACAAATATTAAACTCCATATACCCAACCCAGTCTCACGGCATTTCGTGTTATAGTCACAACATTTATTTTCCTCACTGACGGCAAAGTCCGACATTATACGATTTAAAATAAAAAACAATAATTGTGGCTTGATATTGAGTAATGGCGCGTTTCCACTACACGGCCTCGCTCGGCCCCGCTCGGTATGGCTGGGCCTCGTTAGGACTGGCTCACTTTATGGCGCATTTCCATTACAGTTTAGGAACTGGGGTAGTATCTATAGTAACGCAGTGTAGGCGGAGCCGTGACGTCATCTTCAATGAGAACCCCAGAAAAACAACACAGCCGTTAGCTGTTAGCACTCAAGCTCACAGCTCCTCATATATGTTCAGAAACTAGACAAAAGTTAAACAAGTACAAACCACAGACTGCCTGTGTCATGGTGAATACAGTCGCTGCTTTATTTATGTCTGTATAGGCCGTTGTTGTGAGTGTGGACGGTCGGAGCATATACTGCGTTAGCTTAGCCAATCTCCATTTAGAAAACACGCATTTTAAAAGGTTTTTCCTCTGCCGTCTGTCTGCAGACTTGTCAAAGCATTAATTCATGGTTTTTACTAACCGGTATCAGTATGTTGTTACTTCGGCATCATTTTGAAACGTGTATTACAATTAAATCACGGTCAAATATGTCCATCTTGTTGTAGTTGTTGTCCCCTTGCCAGCGATGCTCTCTCTAGTTTAGCATACTCAGCCCGACTCAGCCTCGTTGTCTCTGGCCCTAGACCCGCGATTTTATGAGGCCAGAAAAACTGTGAATTAGGACCCGCCGGCCGGTACTAGGCCAAGTGGAAACGCAACCAAAGACGGGCCGCTGACGTCACAGCCCTCTTAAACCGTGCTCCGCGCTGTAGTGGAAACGCGCCAAAAGAACATGTTTTTATGAACCACACAGCTTCCAGTCTTCCAAGACCCGACCTGGACCCGACCGGACCAAAAGACGTGGTGCAGGCACGAAACACACTACCAATAGAAATACATTGCTTTTCAAATCGTTCTGTGTGACACGAAAAAAATGGGGAAATCGTGTTGGTGAACACGAATCAATAGATTACATGTCGTGACTATAACACGAAATGCCGTGAGACTGGGTTGATATACCCCAACAGCTTTAAAAAAAACAAACCTATTATGACTTCTACCAATAAAGCACGTTTTACACTAAATGACTGAAAGTATGGCACAAGTCTTTGACACATCATCATCATCATGCAAACGAAATAAATTAAAGCTAGAAAAGAAAGATTGAGGACCGAACTAAGGATGCTTTCAGTAGTAACAAATGGCATCGTAATACTTAAGTCATGTAAAACTTGTTCAAGTGTTATTCTGCACACAAAATAATCAAGACACTAATCATGCAGTTAAACATATCTAAGGTTGAGCAAGCATCGCATGCGACAGTTTCCCACTGTTTTAATCCAGAGACTGTGATGTTCCCACGGTTCTGTCGTGCTAATGAAACCCAAACTCCACGTCTACAAACTGAAACTAAAGCCACACTCATGGAAGTCCTGGTTCTGCTACTATTTGTAATTACAACTCAGCTGTCAGTATGGATACTTGCATACCTGATTGTGTGCTATGAATGGTTATTAACTTAGAAATGGCTTCTTTTTTTGTTGTGAAGATCCATGACGTCCTTTTCTTGTTTCCATCCCCTCTCTCCATTTGGCACCAAACGGTTTCTGGATGACAACACAGCTCTCTTTAAGGCCTTTCTTCTCCTTCCCTGCCCACGGTGCTGCTGCCAAACTCTTCCACTGTGAGGGGAATCATTAAGCCCCGCCCCTTCTCTTCGGTAGCGTCTGCTTCCGGGTTAAAGGTCAACCATGGAGGCCTTGGCCAGGTCCTTAGTTCCCTGGAGAATTCTCTTCATATGACCCACTTTCGATATCCCCAGATCCTGAGGAGAAAGAAAGGAGACACACAGATTAGAAACACAAAGAGACAAGTCTATCTTGAGTCAGGTGACCAAACACCGGCATAAAGGGCGACTTTATTTACTTCAGGTGGAAATATCTCAACAACTACTGGAGGTGTTGGAGGTTTCCAGAGATACAGAGCTCTGTTGCTATTTTTATAATCAGGCAACCGGTTAGAGCCAGTATTTGTTTTTTTATACAAAAGGCCACCTAATAATAATAATAATAATGGGTTCCATTTATAAAGCACTTCATATTTGATTTCAAATCCCGAAGTGCTACAAGCAGTGAGCATAATACCTAACACCTAACCGTGACGTCTGTAGTCAACACAGTATAAAAGACTACAATTCCCAATAGGCCTCCTCTAAAGAGACAAAGGGTGTTTCTCAATCGCGAGTAAAGCTGCTTCAGAGCCACTATTTCAAGCATACTACGTCATCGAGTGCCGCCGAAGGACTGTTCCAATCTCCAGCATACTTGGAAATCTACCGAGCCCGGCGTACTCCGTTTGGAGAAATATCGAGGCTGCACATGAGTAGACTCCGCGGTCTTAAAATCCCCACAATGCTTTGCGCACGGACCAATTTCCCCAAATCTGTGGCGGAAGATGTAAGGCGGGGCCTCTCATATGACGCACACCTGCACACTTGCTCGCCTGTTCCACTCTTCGTTTTCCGAATGGCAGGAAGTATTCTTGCCTCGCTTCTGAAGCAAGATGCTTGGCAGACATGTGCTACCAAGCAAGCGTACTCTCGATTGAGAAACACCCAGAGATAGAGAAGCGAAGTCCCTCCCCTTCCGGTGGACCTCCATGGGACCTTATTTCGGAAAAAGTATGTATTGAAGTCAATGGAGAGAGAAAGATTATCTTTCGATCCCGTTTGAATTGTGCCACGAATTACACATATGATGTTTGTCAATTTAAAAGATAATTTTGCAAGTCAAACAAATAAAAAAGTGTCGTAAAACTGTGAAGTAACACATTTGTTTGTGTGAAACCGCTCAATGAACTACTTCTCTGGTCTCGCACACGTCACCAAGATGGCCGTCACGTTGGCACATTTCACTTCTTTCTTTCAGAATGAGGCGAAAAGTATTAAAAGAGGTGAAAATCACTCCAAGTCTGGGCATGTTGAGAGCTGTGCATACACACAAGGGGAGTTAGTCGGTTCCGTAAGAGCCAGCATGCGGGACCGGCTTCACAAGGTTTCGGTGAGTAACACGAGTGTAATGTGTCACGTTAATGACATCACTTACGCGACTCTGGGATTTGTAGTATTTCTAGTTGCGTATTTTTCATAGTCTTATATTTCAACAACAGTTGTGACTTTTTTGACATGGAAATTATTTTTTAAGATTGACAAACATCATGTGTGTAATTCGTGGCACAATTCAAACATTGACTTCAATCCATAATTTTTCAGAAATAAGGTCCCATGGGGCGGAAGTAGAAGGGGCGGGACTTCGCCTCTCTATGGGCAACCTGTCGGAAAGACGCCGTCGAGGCACAGTTTTTAACCGTTAAGATAAGATTAAAGGTAGGGTCTGAGAAACCGGCTCGAGATACACTTGTTGTTATATTACATGGAATGCTCTTAACATCCCGATAGCAATGAATATCTGAAGTGCTTTGACAAAAAATCCATAAAGAAATATCATCTGTGGAAGCCGTAGTACTGTAAAAAGCACGACCAATCATCTGAGCCGGCCCGGCTAAAATAACTGGATGGCCTACCTGCCTGTCAGCCTTCCATCTGTGCACAAACTTATCTCGTGCCCTCATTGGTCATGTGCGCGTTCGTGTGTGTTGGAGGAGGGGCTCTGGAAGGAAGTAGCAGATTTCTTCCGGCTGTGTATTTTTTCAAATTCTAGCGATCTCGAGCCGGTTTCTCAAACTTACCTACCCCACCTTTAAAGTTATACAAGCCTAAAAAAAGAAAGAAAGTCTACCTAAGTTGTTTATTATTTTATTTGAGTTTTGCCTCTTTTGTTTGATTTGTTTGACTATTGTAAGGCCTTTGTTGAATGTGTTAAAGGTTTGTTATTTTATTTTGAGCAAACACAATATCAACGCACAACGCTTTCTTTTTGTTATCGGTTGAAAACACTCAGAAAAACGTGCAACCCAAAATAAATACATTTTGATCGAGCTAACAGTTCATTTTTGGGGGATCTCTGAAAACGTGACAGCTGCAGGACGGGTGTTTGGGAGACAGAAAATCTGTGATAGTATCTATGATAATATTTCTTTTGTTTTTTGTTATTGTTATTCCTTTTTACATTTCTAATCACTTTTGACTTGCTTATAATTCAAATTGTATTTACCAGCAAATTAGAAAACATTTTCAGTGATTAGCTGAGTTTGTGTCTTCGGGGAAATGGATGTGATAGGTGAGTGACGTTCAAACAAAACAAAGCGACATCCCTGTTTGATTACTGTTGAATTAATTATCAACAAAACATTACTTCCTTTGTTACAGCAGGAGAGCTGATGGTGGTTAACACTTACATTTTGAGGAGGAAGGGAGCAAACAAATGTCCCACAGACCAGAAATACAATAAGTGAATGTGTGCATGCTTGTTTTTCAGTGTAAAGACAAATGACAGTCATTTCAATCTCCATGAGAGATGCTGATCCAGTTCTTTCTACATCCAGGACACGGTCAAACCAAACACTCCAGCATGTGTACTTGAATCTGTATCGGCCAATCGGCACACTGCTCCTTCACTGAGAGGTGGACCCAGGTACCACCTTAACTAAAACACACCTGTTTGCTATCCTGGCCCCATAATGGTGGAACAAGAAACTTCCTATTGATGTCAAGAAGGCGAGAAGTCTACATATCTTCCATTGAAGACTGAACACACCGTACCTTGTTGTATCGCTTGGCCATTAACCTTTGTATTGTCTTGACATCAAGGTGCATCTTTTCTTGACCAAATCTGGTTTGAATGTTCATAAAACATAGTATAAATCATCACCTTTTAAGAAAAAACTTAATTGCAAAGTTATGATCAGAACACTTGGAATTTTTAATCAATATACCTACTTTACACAAAATTAAATCTTATGTTCGAGTTAAAAAAAGGCAAAAAAGTTGAATATTTGTTACTAAAGTTGAGATCAGAGGATAAAAACAACAATCATAGACTGGTATAAGTCAGATATTCATTGAAAATGTACCTTTTGAAGACCAGAGATGCTTTACTTTTGAATAAAACATCCATAATTCAATGTAAATACAATCATACATTCTTCTTGCGAATGTACAGAACTGTCCATATTATTTTTGGGCCAATTAGATGACATAACCCTTTATCAGACATACAAAAACATTTAAAAACGAGACGAATTTGAGCCAAGGACAACAAGGTTAACACACAAAAAAGACAGAGACCTAATGCACGTATTCACCAGCACTTTTAAGGAATTTGAATCAAATATATCTGCATTCCTCTTACTCTGAGTTTGGTATCTGTATGGTTTATTGCACTCTTTGAACGTCTCTTTGGATAAAAGCATCAGCTAAATGACATGTATTAGCTTCTATGCATATCTCAGCTACACTTCCTGCCTGACTTTGCACTTCCTGTCCTGTGAAACCAGCCCCAGTTTGGACCCCCCCCCCCCCCCCCCACACACACACACACCCATCCCATCCCAGTTAGTGTTAGTGGGTTACAGCGACTTTTTCACCAAGCAACGTCAGACAGTAGCAGCCAAGCAAGAGCAATGCAGCGAGGAGGCAGAACAGGGAGACATCTAGAAGAGCGTCAGAAGAACAGAGGACAGGGAGGAAGGTGTGTGTGTGTGTGTGTGTGTGTGTGTGTGTGTGTGTGTGTGTGTGTGTGTGTGTGTGTGTGTGTGTGTGTGTGTGTGTGTGTGTGTGTGTGTGTGTGTGTGTGTGTGTGTGTGTGTGTGTGTGTGTGTGTGTGTACCTTCAGGTCCCTCCTCTCCAGGTGCAGCAGCTCCGAGCCGCGGATGTCGTGTCGGATGAAGGTGTCTCTGTACTCCCCGAGACTCAGCTGCTCCAACCAGACCCCCACCTCCTCTGGACCCCACCTCTCCACTACACACACACACACACACACATACACACACACACACGGGGCAGAGCAGAGAGAGGCTCAGGGCGCCTCGTTGGTATCCACACACTCCCACACTTCATCCATTCTCTCGTACAGCACTTTATGTGGATATGTCAACACACACACACAGATGGACACAATGTGTGGTGGGTCATCGAAAGATGGAGGGAAAAGCGCCAGAGAGGAAGGGAAAAGGGCGGCAGCTGGGAGGAGTTTGACAAAAGGTCAAAGGTTGAGCAGAACAAGGCATGCACATCACCGACCAATGAGAACACACAGGAAATAGTAGGAGGAAAAGGCAGCCTGTGCAAAAATACTGCAAGAAAAACAGCCAAATAACCAGCCCGCGCTGAAAGGACCTGCACTGACCTTTGAACCTTTCTATGTATGAAAACATTTACCCAGTAAGTGTGCAGCAACATCAAGTTAGTGTTTGGTCATCTGGATGTATGGTATTGACTTTTTTTACTCTTTAAATATTAAAATGCAACCAAAAAGTGTTGATCTCCGGCTGGTTTGTGTTCAAATTAATCGACATAGACATATTTCAACATATCCTTTGACCCCTGCAGCCTTGTTCTGCTCTGACTTTACGCCTGTTGAAGCCATGAAGATGAGAACATGAATGGAGGGAGGTGATGGTGAGGGTCACACTGTGTGATATACAGTAACACCTGAAACACACCCCATCTTTGTGTTTCTACCAGTGGATGAAATAAATAATAACTTGATGCATGGAGTGTGTGTTGATGATGGAGCGGGGCATGATGGGAGGGAACCTGTTGGAGTAAAGCTTTGTGTGTGTGTGTGTGTGTGTGTGTGTGTGTGTGTGTGTGTGTGTGTGTGTGTGTGTGTGTGTGTGTGTGTGTGTGTGTGTGTGTGTGTGTGTGTGTGTGTGTGTGTGTGTGTGTGTGTGTGTGTGTGTGTGTGTGTGTGCGTGTGTGTGTCCTCATGAAGTAGGTAGAGGTTTTTAGTATCAATAACTGAACAGAGGATGGTAGCACTTCCAGATAATCGTCCTAGTTTCCACAGGTGGTGGACGAGGTGCTCGGGTAAAAGGGCTAATGCTAAAGTGTAAACATACTCTGTTAGAAGTGAAAGTCCTGCGATCAAAAGTATCAGAATCAATATCTGTACTGAAACAGCCTCTTCAGAATATCGCATTGCAATCATGTGATGCCTTAATATGTAAAGCAGGATTTAGTTACTGAAATATTGAGTGTGATTACAAGTTTAACATGATTGTTGTAGCTGCTCAGCTACGGGGCCCAAAACAACGCCAATACTATGAAACCTAATCAAAGATAAATACAATTTTGCTTTGCCTCCTTAGAAAGTTATTTGAGCCTCCCCGTTGTCACTCAGTGGATTCTGATTGAACACCTTCCTTTTAAGTAAAATATAAAGGGGTTAACATTTGTGTGACATAAAATCATTTTGAATTCAATGTTAAGGCCTAGGGCTGCAGGATTTGGAAGAAAAATATATTGCGATTTGAATACATTTTAGATGAATTGAGCAGCTCTAGCTGTGTCACTGTGACCTGCCAACTATGCAACTGAAACAACCCTTACATGGAAACAGATAAACAACACAAAAAAACGTCATGTTCCTCCTCTGGAGCGAGAGGGAAACCATTTTAGAAAAGTTCAGGGAGTTACAATCGGAGACGGCAGATGGAGCAGAGTCTGTCCAGAGAGGGCAAAAGTAAACACATCCTTCACTCAAGTAGAAGTACAGATACTCGTGTTTAAAAATACTTCTAAAAAAGTAGAAGTACTCAAGTAAAGTGGCGAGCTGTGACTTTTATACCTAGGCCCTCTGACCCCCCCCCCCCCCCCCTAAAAAAAAAAAGAGTTACTACGTCACAGCGTATACTTCAGCGGAATATCAAAACAACGGCCCAGGGTGCAAAACGCATCAATGACAGCGACCCTCTACCACACAAAACAACACCTGTGAACCCAATTTGTGTTCTTTGACATTGGAAATGATATTGCATTGTGTTTGTTACTTTCGTTGCAGTTGTATGTCTTAAGCGTAATTTGGCATGCTTTTATTTTGAACGTGAGTTTACGCTGTTGACAGGAAGTTGTTGTCGCTATGGAAACAAGAAAAGCTTCACAGCGGGCAGAACTTGTCATAAAGTCCGCCCGATAATAAAACCCACCTATTTAGAGGGAAGATATGATTGGTCAATTGTACTGTCATTTGACATTACTCTCTCCTTCAGTTACTATAGAGAGCCGAAGTCCCGCCCATCTACTTCCGGTCCATGGGACCTTATTTCGGAAAAATAATGTATTGAAGTCAATGGAGAGAGAAAACTTATCTTTCGATCCCGTTTGAATTGTGCCATGAATTACACATATGATGTTTGTCAATCTTAAAAAATAATTTCCATGTCAAAAAAGTCACAGTTTGTCGTAAAACTGTTGAAATATAAGACTATGAAAAATACGCAACTAGAAAGACTACAAATCCCAGAGTCGCGTAAGTGATGTCACAATTGTTTTCCTCCACTAAGAGATAGCTAAGATCAGCGCCATATAGATAGAATCTATCTATAAGATAACTTTAACAAGATGCCTGTGTGCTTAGTACCAAGTTGTTATCATACCAGCAATGGGTCTTGCTCGTTCTTTCGTTTCCCGTCTGATGAAAGGACCAGGAGTGGCTTGATCAAGCTAGCTAGTAGCTAGCACGTTAGTTAGCATTACAGCCTTGTCATTTGTATTAGCCTTAACATGAAGTAACATTAAGTAACCCAAAATGTTAAACAGTAAGAGTAGTAGTCATATTTCGTGAACCCTTTGAAGAGTACTGTCACCGGTGTGATCATTCTATAATACACAATTTAATCCCGGGGGAGAAATGCTAACGCTAACGCTAGCGATCTTCTCTACTTCATGCTATCTGCACAAATGGTTGACATTAAACATTAAAACGACCAGGCAGTTCAGAGAGAATCAAAGGAAGGCAGGCTTTGCATGACATTCTTCAGGACGTGTTTCATTGTAGTGATAGTGAGGGTAGTCAATCGTTTTGTTGACAAGACAGTAGTGACGGCCATCTTGGTGACGTGTGTTGTTGACCAGAGATGTAGTTCATTGAGCGTTTCACACAAACAAAAGTGTTACTTCACAGTTTCACAACACATTTTTTTTTTTTGACTTGCAAAATTATCTTTTAAATTGACAAACATCATATGTGTAATTCGTGGCACAATTCAAACGGGATCGAAAGATAATCTTTCTCTCTCCATTGACTTCAATACATAATTTTTCTGAAATAAGGTCCCATGGAGGTCCACCGGAAGGGGAGGGACTTCGCCACTCTATAGCGTGCCCTCTGTGAATTCACAGCTGGACCACCAATCAGCTCACAGTACCACGCAGAGACGAGCTTCTTTCATTTAACCCTTCACATTCCAACAGAAACTGAATAGGCAGATTCGAAGGATTTATTTCTTTGGAAATGTTATTTTAAATACAATTAAATCAAGTTATTTTGGTAAAACTAATGAAAAATATATCTATAATAATATTTTTTAAATATATATATATTTGTTTAATGTTTTTAAATATTATTTTGTAGAATATCTTAGGCCCTCAGAGAGGGCCTAGAGGGCCCTGACGGCTCGCCACTGCTCAAGTCAAAGTAAAGAAGTATGGGCTTTGAAATGTACTTCAGTAAAAAGTACCCATAACTAGCAGCTGTTTTAAAGAGTACCTGACCTCCCTTTATATTAATAGAACAATAATGTCATTGTTAGCTAATGAATGTTTCCATGCTGAACAACGGCAACATGACAACGTTTTCATTGGTCCCTCTTCTTTAGAGAAGACCAGGAAATGATGGATACACGGATCGTGTTCAAATTAATAGGCACGCAATGACTCTAAATAATAATGATCACGCCACCAAACACACATTCAGACTAAAGGAACCAGCCTGTTTGGGAAATGTAAGAAGTAGAAAGTACAGGTATTTGTGTTCAAAATGTGAGAAGTAGAAAGTACAGGTGTTTGTGTTCAAAATGTAAGAAGTCAAAGTAAAAAGTCGTCAGAAAAATAAGTAGTGGACTAAAGTACTGATACCAGAAACATGTACTTGAGTACAGTAACGAAGTATTTGTACTCCACTACTTCCCACCTCTGGATCTCTCCCCCTACCTGATTGAGGACTGGTCTTCTTGGCCGCCTTCTCCTTCTTGAACTTGGGCACGATGCGGAACATGCTGCTGCGACTGTTCCTCTTTCCGTAACCCAGAGAGTGATCCTGGTACATAAGCACAGTCAACCTATAGCCTTTCATTTAGCTACTCAGCTCTGCCGTCATCTGGAGCCACATTAC